AGTTACTACATTTTTCTAATTTCATTTTAAGTACCTCATGTACAATGAGTCATATTGGGTTCGATTAATGAATAAGTAATATTTCTCCTTACTTTCCACCCTCCCAAGAAATATACAAATGATATGGGAAGGAAGCCCCACTCTTGTTACTCGTTATGCCTTATTTTTTCCGCTGTCGCAGTTCATCGATTTTCTTCAATTTGGCTGCATTAAATATGCCAAAAGATAGTCCCCCTCCGATTTCTGCCACTTTCCCCGATTCTTTGTTAATACTTTATATGCGCAATAGCCAAAATAAGCTGGAAAACGGACGGAAGAGAGACGGCTATATGGAAGCCGAATAAATGACAAAATGGCAAGTCGAGACAACAACACTGGAACGTGTCGTCATCAGTTAACTCCCACCGCCCACCGCCCCATAACCTTTTACCCCTCAACCTCTTTTTGTCCTGTGCCCAAAAAGTTTGATTGATACGCATGAATCATGCTTCCGAAGGGGCGAGAAGATACCACAAGGGAAGTACAGTCAAACGAGGCTAAGAGGAAATACTTGGATCAGAGTTGCATTTCAGAATGGCAGTGTGACCATGCCATATGTATATTTCGTTACATATTAATTAGTAAAAATATTCAAGTTATTATGATCTTAGTAATTTATAGTGAAAAATTCTGGTTCGCCTTAGAGAGGATTTACTGTATTTGCCGTCTTTCACTCAGACATTTGATGACTCCATCTTTTTGGGGTTGCAAGTTCCGGATTTTAATCGGGCTACTTAACAACTGAATTGTTCAGTTGCAGTTTTTTCCTTTATTTCGTGTTTTTTTTTTTGTGGTTCTTCTCCCTTGATTTTATTTTTTTTGGGGTGGCAGAAGCAAAGTTGGCGCCAAGCTGACGAGACAAAATCATTAGGGAAACATGAAGCTAAAATAACAAAATTAACGAGGGGGAGATAGAGAAATTGCGAGGAGGGGTGTTCCACCAAATGGGGGAAAATAACATTCAAGGACATGAACTAGTAGCGACAGCTTTTGAAGGACTTTGTGTAACGTGGTGTGAAAAATCAATGAGCCTTCAACTCCACTCCTTTCTCCATATTTTTATCTCTATTTATCTTTCTGCAGCAGCAGCTGGCAGCTGTCGTTGTCCTACACTGCGTATGTGGAATATTCTGGGCCACAAGGATAACAGTCTTATTGCCTTGAAAAAAAGCTATGAAAAATTCAAAGTTTTTTTTTTTTGATTGCTTAATATTAAAACTGAAACCAAAAATATAGTTTTAAACATGTTAACGTCATCTTAAAGCTCTGCTTGAGTTTTGTATCACTCTGCAGAGCTTCAAACAAAAGAAAACCCAACTATTTGTCGGTTTTAAAGTTAATACGATTGTCATGGCTCCCACACATGCATAAACATAAACAAAAACCCACAAAACTAGTTTTTCTTCAAAGTTCAAGCAAACAACTTTTCAAAACCAAACAGCGTCTTCTTTTCTTTTAAAAGCTGAGCCTAAAAGCCTTAACAATTCAAGGGCATCTTGAAGAATATTTTATGTTATTTTTGTACATGTTCAAAGTGTTAGGAAAAGATAATTGAGCGGTTTAAATAACTGAGCTTTAACCCGATTCAATTGAACTGCTCAACCCCCGACTGCCACTTAAAAATAAAGAAAAGAAAAGGCTTGGCACAAACGATATGGAAATATTTTCATTTGAATGAAAACACAAAAACAGACAAAGAAAAAGGGAAAGTAGTACGTGGACATAATCGTATATTTCCCTTAGGGAAAAATTTGTAACACTAAGGTAATGATAAATGATTAGAAAACACGTTTTTGATTTCATTTGTATTTTTTTCTCTTCTTGGTTTTCTCTCTGAGCTGCTGGCTTTTCGAATTATTCATCTTTCGATGCGTCAGTTGGTTTTGTACTCGATGACCAGATGTGTCTGCACCTAATATAAAATGCAATCAACTGAAATATGTATAGCTAAGTTCTGACTCACTTCTGTGAAGTCTTAAGGCAGCTGAAATAATATAGATTTATAAAATTCTGGAAAATTAACTTTGATTGCCGTAAGATGAAAATATTTATGAAAGAGCGGGATATTAATAAGCAGAACACAAACAAATTTTTATCCCAGTTGGAAACTACACAGCAGCATAAATATGATGATTGTAATTATTGGATGGTAATCACTGGATCGTTTGATCACAATCAATGGATCACTCTGCGTTGGAATCTAAAAATAACTGTGCGTTATGCATTTTGTAGCAGCAACATCAACATTCAACAGCAAAGTAGCAACAGAAAAAGCAGACAAATGCGACACCAGACATCGGCCAATGACAACAATAAAAGTATGTCAGGCTGAATCACGGAGGCGTATAGATAGATATAGATGTGGCTATATAGATAGAATGCACCACACAAAAAAAGCCACAGAAAAATAAATAAAAATAAGAGAAAATTAGGCGCGCGACTGATGTAATGCAAACACAGAAAAAAGTCAAATATGAATGTAATTTATGCGGCCTAAATTCTGATTTTATACACGTAAACTAAAACTTTCGATTTAGTAACATTAAATATTAATTAAATATCGCTTTAAAAAGTTTCAACTGATCAAAAAAATCTTAGAAAATCTAAGAAATTAGATTAAGAAAAAGCTCTCTCTGTTTTCTCTTGGTGCATTTGAAACCAACGCAAACCAACGAGCATAACCAAATAGTTATGAATTAAAAATGAAATGAAAAAATGCCTGTAATTTAGCTTATTACATGCCTAAGATAAAATATGAAAATTGGCCAGCAATTTCCGTTTTGTCCCCACGCTTTTGGCTTTGTAATATACATATATCTTTCACAAGCCCGTAACTATGTTGCAATTACAAAATGTCCATAGACTTTCGATTTATTTAATTGACATGAATAACTGGCTGGTGAATTTATTATGGCGTAATTAATTATATCTGCAAGATATGATATGAAATCTATAATTTCACTTTGGTACTTTATATCATTAACTTATAGTTATGTCAATTTTTACTTGAGAGTCTTCTCCAAAGAACAAAAAGAAATTCTTACCCATTAAGTACCTAATTCTCTTTCATTTCTCTGAGAAATTTGGTAAAAATTGTCCCGTAAAATTACGTAATGCCTAGCCGGCATAGGTGAGTTAATTTCTTCTCTTTTTCCCCATAGTTTGTTTCCATTTCGTTTTGGTTAATATTCTCAACGTGCTTGGCCATCCGGTCAAACTGGTTTTTTGTGATATTACCGCTTTGACTCGGATACTTTTTTTAGTTTTTTTTTTTTTTAATTTCTAACACTGTACCTGAACCACTTGCTGTGCTAGAGAGCGAGAGGGCAATAGTGCGAGGAAGCGAGATGGCAATAGGGGGAGCCAAAGAGAGAGAGGGAGAGGGCCAAAAGAAAAGCGCACACATTTCCCACTATTAACCCATTTTAGTTTTGTACGTGTAAAAATAAACAACACACGATTTTCCCATTCCTTCTGCTTCTTTTTTTCCTCTTTTTCTTATTATTATTCTTGCACATTTCTCACGTTCTATGTGTGTGTGTATATTTATGTGAGTGTGCCTGGCATTCGGCCATCTGTTGCTATTCTGCCGACGCCAGCAGCGCTGCTACTGCGCTGTCACTGCACTTGTGTTGTTGTTGCCAATTTTGTATTAGAATACAGTAAACATCCATTAATAAGACATTAGTTTTTTATATTTTTTTTGTATTGAAAATATAATTTATTTTATCTTTTTATAGGCGCTACCTTCTGTATTTCATTTAATATATGCACTTTTTTAAAAGGTACTTTTTGTGTTTATATTATGACATTTTTCCTACTAATAAAAGATTGAAGCTAATAAATTAAGACACCATTTGTCTACAATTTATTTCTTTAAATTTTCCTTTTCAAAATGGAAATGAGAGGAAAACTATTTTTCTTTCATATTTTGTTCTCCAACACAGAAATATTTCACAGACACTTTGGAATTTTTTCGTTGGCACGATGCTCTTATGTTCACCCCACTCCCTGTTCTTTGGCAATGAGGTCATACCATCACCATCACCATACCATCATCATCATCATCATCAGCTGCTGTTTGCCCTCTGTCCACAAAGTTTTGAACTTAAAATTTCGCATTTTTCGACCGAATGACTAAATACCCCTGCAATGACGCCCCAAAGTACACGCTCTACTAAAAAAGTGATCAAAAACTACATATGAATAAAACTAGCGAAACGAAACGTGTTTAGGGAACAGGTTCCAAATGGATTACTCAGAGAAACAAATATCACTCACTTCCTCAACTTGCATCATCACGAAAACAAGACAAGAAGTAATAAGCGGGGGAGACAGACCGAAATCAAACTTATAAATACATTTAGAAATATATTTTTGGACAATTCGACGACAAAGATAGCAGAACTAAAAGAACATGGGGCCAGATGTTTGGAACTCGGAATATTAAATACCCTAAAAAAGTGAAATAGACTTTTAAATTTTAATCTTTCTTATTGTTTAAAAAGATAAAGATAAGTAATATAGAGCTATCATAGGCATTATAAAAAAAATAATATTTAACTGCCTATTTATATCCGACGTTCCTCCAATTAGTTTCGCTCTCTTAAACACCAAAAACTATTTTTTAGGCCAGACTATATCAAGTTGCCTTAAAATGTGCTTCCTGCTGTTCTCGAATGAATTAAAAATACTTGTGACGACGCGAAATATTTCGTAAAAAGCAACAAGTCTTCGAAACAACAAGGCTGAAATAAATAAACAAAAAATCTGATTTCCTAAACAAATTTTGGTGTAGAGGCGACTGCTTAAATTTGATTTATGTGAATTAAAATAGAGGGCAAAGTACATAAATGTTCAGATATAAAAGTATTTAACATCCGAACTATTTCCACAATTTTTAAACTTCTTTCGGAACCATCTCGTATATTATATAGTTCATAGATCTTAAGTTAACTTACTCTGGTTCGGGTTGTGCATCGGCTTCGCATTCGATAATAAATGGATTGTCACTTTCCTTATTCTGTTGCGCTACTTTGAAGAGCAGTTCTCCGGGTGCCGGTTGTTTGGTGATTCTTGGTGGGGAGTTGCCTAAAGATATTACGGGGAAAAGATCGATGAGCCTCGGGTCCCAGCGTACTAATTGATCGCATAAATTGAAGATTTCCCTCACAAAACTCTCATGTATTTTTAGCATTGACTAATTTTTAAGAACAAGATCTGGGGTCTCGGGAGTACACTTAAAGGCCGTTTTGAGAGGGAAATCTCAAGTGATCTATGATCTATGATTAAATGAGTTCCTTTAAAATCCATTACAATAAATCTAGCAGCTATAAATACAGATTTCTTTTACTTACTTTTGACTGCTGCACAGCCCGTTATAAGAGCCACTAATAACGCGGCCAGTATCGTTGACTGCCGCCACATTTTCGTCGTTTCTGGCACTCCGCTCGCGCCCTCGATTGTGTTTCGTTTGGTTTTGGTTTGTTTTGGCTTTAACTTTTATTTTTTTCCTATTATTAATTTAGTTTGGAATGTGTGTGTCTGTCTGCCTGCTGCTGCTGCTGTTGATTCGGTTTGTTCCTCGGTTGCCTCTTAAATATCAAGCAATTTTCCCACTAATGAAAATTGCATGCGAGCCGAGCTTTTATTACTTTCTGCTGTTCTGTTGCACTGCGAAAATGAGATTATGACAACGATGATAATAATGGTGTGTCTAGAACTTTACACTTTTCAATTGCGAAAATTGCGAAAAACGCGACGCGACGCGTGTGAGTGCGAGTGGGAGCGGGATGGCACTATTGAGTGGGCGGTGTGGTGTGAGTGGCGGTAAAAGTTTATTATCACGTCTCTTGTCTGCAAAGAAAATGGGTAAAAGAAGAAGAAAAATAGCCGTGAGTAATGCGATTATTTTAACTTGATTTCAACGAGAAAAGTGTTTACTTAATGACTACCAGATGTCCCTTTCAAGAACTCTTTCTTGACTTTAAAAGTATTTTATAAAAATATGGTACCTTAAATGTATTATTAAAATTATTTTTTTTGGTTTTAAAAAAAGCACTTAAAGAAATGGTGAGCATGTATTACTGATAAAAGCAAATAAAAGATAAGAACCCTTGAAAAATGTTTTTAAGAAAAAGTTGTCCATATTTTATATATAATATAGAACCCACATTTAGGATAACACACATTTTAAGCAAAAGTAAGTTTACAAGAAATATAAACAAATACCTTATCAAACTTTTTTTCAGAAATTTGATAAAATAATTCAAGAAATTAAATTGTAAAATATACAAATATAGCAAATAAAATTCATACATTTAAGATGAGACCCAGTAAAAGCATTTGGCTAGAGATAAGACCCACAAATGCACAATTTCCCACCCTTTTTGCCTTGACCAGCGGCGAGAGACCCCACAAATTCGATATCGAAATACTTTTAGCCATTTCGAATCATTAACCGCAACAATAGTAGACACACAAAAAAAAAGGGGGGAAAAAAACTGTAAAAAACAAAACAAACGTAGACGAAACGAGAATCGATTATTGTAAATTTATTACTTTTGCGACGATATTTGCCTTGGGATGGTGAAAACAAACGCGGAGGAAGTGGCCAAGAGAACTGAGACAATTGGTGAACGAAATGCAACAGAGAACCGAAAACTGAGGACTGAAAGCCAGACGAAGATCCGTCAATGAATCAATATATAAGTAGCTATACATAGATGTACACAGATATAGGGGGGCAGTACGAGGTAACGTCATAGACCTGGTTAGAAAATGTGCCAGGGCAGTTAGCAGTTGGCATATGAAGAAGAAAAAAAGAAGAAGAGGAGGAAAAACAAGTAAAATCGGAAATACCACTCATTTTTTGGAATTTTGTTAGGTTTTTATATAAATTAAGATTTAAAAGTTAAGATTTAAATTTCTTCAAGCCGTAGAAACATATATCGGCATTAAAAACTAATATGATATTCCATAATCTCATTCGAAACCTTAAAACCTCTCTAGTTCTGTTAAAAATATAACTAAAATTCTACAATATTTTTCATTGCCTACTTTTAGACACCTTTTTTAAAGAGGTTTTCAGTTCTCTCTTGAAATATGATATACCCAACATTTACCCCTTACTTGTACCAAAACAAAGGGTTGGAAAAGCCCCCGTGTGTGCTAATTGAATTAGCGCTTTTCCATTGACAGGTGCCAGGTGCCTCGGCCGTAGTCCGTGTTTTTCTGCGCTATTCTCCGCCGGAGCCTCTTCAAATTGGCTAAAATGCTGAACTGCATCGGACGTTCCAAGTTTGCCGTTTTCAATTTCGGTTTTAGCTTCCCAAAGGCATTACTATAATCCAGTGGATATATACTTTTTAAGGCGATGAGCCACCAGCATCAACAGCAGCAATTCCATCATCACCATCAGCACATCCATCAGGTGCAATCGGAATCGCAATTGGAGCGACGTAGCTCCTCCGATTTGGAACCAAATAGGAATAGGCACACGGATCGCATTGGCTCCTCAATGGATTTTCGGAATCTATGCCAGCGCATCGATGTGGAAAGTTTGAGAGGTGAGTGGGGATATTATATTATATTAAGTAAAGCCAAATTGAAGGTATTCTATTTAAAATTCGTTTTTTTTTTTTTTTTTTTTTTTATTTTTTTAGTATTACACATAGAATTTAATACATTGATCAGCCAATTTAATGGCTATACGTAAAATAAAATTTATTTATTTATTTCTTTTTTTTTTTTTTAATAATTTTCCTGTATTTTCCCCACCAGCCAAATTGCCCCAATTGAAGTTGCCCAAATCGCTGCCCAAGTTGCGTGGTCGCAAGATATTTCGCAGTTCCCGCAGTGGAACAGATGCAGCTGGAGAAGGAGGAGCAGGAGGAGCAGTAGCAGTGGGGAGATCCTCCAAAGATGCAGGAGGAGGAGGAGCAGCCCACCAATCGCAGCACCACCTTCAAGTGGCGGCTCCGCAATCGCAGCAGTTCATAAACCGAACGCCCCAGCGGATCTCCACGATCAGTTCGCTGATGTACGAGGGCGAGCAGCTGGAGGAGCAGCTGGGTAGATCTCAGCCAGGAACCTACAGAAGCGCTGGCAGTCTGGATGATGACTACTATGCTCCGGGCAGCGGAGAGCGAGCATCGCGACCCATTAGTCCCATCAAGATACCAGCCTCGCCGCAGGGGAATACCAAGGCCCCCGTTACCTCGCTAACCCAACGATTGCAGCGGGGCTACAAGAGCCTCAGCGAACTGAGGATCAGGCACATCTTCGCCAGGCAGACGACGGTGCGAAGGGACCAAATCGAGGTGGATCGCTATGTGGAGCAGTACGAGCGGGAGCTCGCCACGGAGAAGTTGGCCAGGGAGCGGCGGGATCGGGAGATAGCCGAGAACTATGACATCCAGATCAAGACGCTGGCGGGCAGCCGGCAGAACACCTTCGACGACGACGCGGAGCTGGAGCACCGACAGCTCGAGCAGAGGAGCAAGTTGGCCCAAAGCCACGAGACGGACGAGAGCGGCATGGAGGCCACGCCGCCGAGTCTGCCGAGTCGCCGGAAGCCCGGGATAGCGGCCACCAGGTTCGCCAAGGTGCGGAAGCCTCCGCTGGAAATGGAGGAGCAATCGGCGGAGCGGGAGGAGACTCCACCACGTCCCAGTAGCTATAGGCAGTTTGTCAGCAAGTTGCCCAGTCTACCGAACCTCCCACAGTTCTCCAGGAGCAAAGAGGATCCAGCCAGGCAGGCGGAGAATGAGGGAGCACTGGAAATCCAATCCAATTCCAAGTTTGGCCTGAGGCAAAACATCAAGAGACTCCGAAAGTCCATCAAACGACCGGCCAAGATGAAAGGCAAGGCTTCGGTAAATCCACGAGATTCGGATGAGGAGGAAAACGAAGGAGAGGAGAAGGAGAAGGAGCCACCACTACCACCTGGCAAGATCAGCTCCTCGGGGAATCTGCGAGCCCGTCTCAGTCGCTTTGCCTCCACGGAGCAACTGCAGCAGCGCTGGCGAAAGAGCTTCAAGGAGCGGGCTCCCAAAGGGGATGAAACCAAGGAGGATGCCACGAAACCAGGAGGTGTCCTGGGTGGCCTGCTGCTGGGCTCGCAGCTGGAGAAGACCCTGGCCAAACTGAACGAGCGGATGCATCAGCTCAAGTTTTTTCAGCGAAACTCCAACGAGAATCCAGCGAAAGCGAGGGAGCCACCCAAACCGAATACCGTGGGCCATGAGCCCGTGGAGATCGATGACGATGAGGAGCTGGCGGCCACCTACCATCGCAGCGATAGCCTCGAGCATGAGGATCCGGATGGGCAGGATGACAGCGGCGAGGATATATCCGCTGAGGAGGCCTTTGGCCAGATGCAACCGGAGGAGGAAGAGCAATCGTCATCCCTATCGGGAAATGCGACCACCCACGCTGCTCGCCAAATGGCAAAGCTGGCGGAGATTCAGGCGGCGTCAAAGAGCGGAGCGGCCGCCTGGAGCAGCGAATCGCTGGAGGAGATCGCCGACGAGGACTATCCGCGGGTGCTCATCCACCAGGAGCACTCGGATGCCTACGAGTCCACGCTGATCATAGCGGTGGCCTCGGCGAAGGGCAGTGGAATGAGAACTTCACCCTATCCGGAGATTAAAATCTCTAAGCCAGGACCTCAAAGGTTATCCTGCTCTCCTCCAGAGAAATCGAAATCTCGATCTCGATCTCCTTCACCCGAATTCAAGACCCCGAAATGCGATTCCAACAGCGCTTGGCTGCCCAACGAACGGATCATCGCCGGCTTCAAGGAGCAGGCCAACTGGCCAGCTCCCGCCTTGTACAAGCCCAAGAGCATCGACATCTTCGAGGGCTCCTCCGCGGCCTTTGCCGACTTCGATGAGGCACTGCGCAATGCACCCGTCCTGAGGATCAGTGCCGGCAGTAGCATCGATACCAGTGGCGAGGAGGCGGACGACAGTAGCTCCCGGGTGACCAGAATCCGCGTGCAGAGTCCGCAGATTGGCAACAGCAGGGAGAGCCTGATGGCCCAGGAGGAGGAGGAGGATTGCTATTCGGAGGAGGAGGAGGAGGACAGGGATGCCTCGGAGCGACCGCCTTCGGAGTCGCCACCACCGCCGCCACTTCCACAGCGACGTCCGCCGCCCAAGCGACCGGCCACTCCGCCCATTTACGATGCAGTGCCTCCGCCGCTGCCCATTAGCAAGCCACCTCCTCCTCCTCCTCCGCCGGCAGAGGTAGCTCCTCCAGCAGAGGCTCCCCCTGTTCCCTCTCCCACTCCCATTGCCAGGACCATGCCCCAGAGAAGCGCCTCCATGTCGAGACCGGCCAAGCCGCTGGTGAAGACCAGCTCCCTGCGACTCACCTACAGGGAGCAAGTGCGTCCCGGGGATGTGGGCAAGGTCAACAAGCTGATATCCCGTTTCGAGGGCGGAAGACCGAGACTCTGCCCCCGGCGAATGCACAGCGAGGGGGAGGAGGAGGCGGAGGAGGTGGAGGTGGATCTGCCGGAGATGGAGAAAATCCTGGAACTCCAGATGAGCGAAAAAAGAGCCGTGGACTCGGTGACACCAACGAATCGAGGAGCTGTGCTTATACCGCAAATAACTCTGAATAACAATAATCAGGATGATGATGAGATCGTTGGGAGTGGGAAAAAGAAAACCATGGAACTGGCTCTGGATCGCCAGAACTCCAATTGCAGCCGATCCGAATACGGTTCACCATTATCCTTTCCCAGCAGCCGGCGAAGCTCGACGCCCACCAACATTTCCATCCCGAATCTCAGTTCTAATCCCAACCAGAATCAGAATCTGAATCAGAATCAGAATCCAAATCCCAATGCCAACCAAATCCTGCAGCACCAACGACGCAGCCGACGATCCATGACCCGCGACGATGACAATTTCTATAGCTTCGATAGCGACGAAGGTAATCAATCCTATATAACATCATATCATATTTTCAAGATCACCTAAATTTCCAAGGTAATAATTACCAAATCAATCCTATATAACATCATATCATATCTTCAAGATCATCTAAATTTCTTTCAATACCCCTTACTTATTATAACCCATAGATTACTAATAAAGTGTAATATATTTTTTTCAGAGAACAGCTACTACTCTATAAGTCCCTCGGGCAGCAGTCGCTATGTGGTGGAGATCTGATCGAAAAAATAGGATTTAATATAGCTTAGTTACAAGAAAAAACATGTATTAATGTAAACTCAATTATTAACTATTGAAAACTTAAATCAAAAGATTTAATAGAGAGTAGTTCCAGAACCCAAAGTATTTTTTTTGAAATTCCCAAAAATATAATAACAAAAAAACAATGTTATAATCCAAATCGGCAAACCTAAAACATATTTTTTTCTCTAGCCTAAGCTTTTACTTAACAAATAAAGTACAACTTGTATAACTTGAAAGTAAATACAATAATAAACAAGCGATATCAAGTATCGTATATATAATGGTAGCGTTTTATCACATTTGAAAGTTAATTTAGGGAATACAAAATCCAGCACGAGTTGGTTTTTATTGGGGGTTGGAGGAGGAGGAAGGTCTCTCTCGGAAGGAAGTTGATTAATAGCACTAAAATGCATCGAAAAGCGGAGGGCTGGTACACTTAGGTGCCAGCTGACACTCGTATTCACCACCATATTATACCTACATAAATACTTCTATATTCGGGGTGGTGGTTGCAGCGATCCTGAAAAACAGAACCTGAAATTACTTCCCCTATTTCGCTGTCGGCGGCTGACTCGAATCGCTGACTGAGCGCATTTTAATTGATAATTTATGCTAATTAATTAATTTGGAAATGCCAAGGGTGGAAATGGAAATGGAAATGGCTGGCAGACATATTATAAATTTTAGTTTTCGTTAGTTGTATGCAACATATGGCGGCTATAAGGATAATGCCACGATAACCGTAAAATGCCGAAGATCAGGCTGGAACTTGAAACATCTGTTGGTAGCCTAAATATTACTTTTTAATATGATCTTGACTTCAGAAAATATTAGTTTAATATGAAATTAGAGATAGTTGTAAGTAATTCTTAAATATTTAATTTAAAACCAGTTAGGAAAATTTTTGTTAAAAATGTATTTGTAAATAGCAAAGTACCCCAAAGTTTCTTCTTCAATTCAAGTTTTTTTTGCCTTTTTGACTTGGATTTTCAGTGGCCTTGGCCCTTCGAATTCAACTGCAATGCGGTGTTCATATAGGGCCCCCATTTCTACCCCCCAGCCGGCTTTCCTTTCCTTTCATTTTCACAGCTTAGTCATTTTCCGGGGGCTGATTCATTAGGCGGCTTAGAAAGCTCCTCCTTCCTCTCGCTTTTGTTTCCATTGCCTCATCAGAGTGGCGGAGTGGGGAAAAGTGAGCGATTGAATGACTCTTGCGGGTCATTTTGGGCCTTTAATCAGAGCAAATTAATAAGCACACAAGAGTTTTTCTCCTCACCACCCCACCTCCCCCTTTTTTGATTAATTAAACTTTGCTTGTGTGACTAATTCTCCCGTCGCTCCGGAAAATGCATTTTTTATTACAGTCGCCGTCTTAATAGTGGCTTAGTTTTCTCGCCCTCATGCCATCGCATTAAATGCCAATAAATTCTATAAATTAAGAACGGCGATTGCTACCAGCATTTCTATTTCACATTTCTCATTTCGAAACTGTTGACTTTCGGTGGGCAATTAAGAAAGTTGAAGTTCGGGGGCCCAAAAGTAAATAAGTGCAAAATCGGTTGATTTAGGTAGCGGGCAAACAGTGAAAAAAGGACAATGAATCAGGCAATCCATCCACATCCACATCGTATATGTACTTTCCACCCCCTTGGAAAAACAGCTGCAAGCAGAGTTATTTGACACGCGACCAAAAAGCAACCAATGTGCAGCCGAAAGTATCTACAAAGTTGCAAAGATACGGATACACACGCCGCTGCTAGCTGTTAACCCCTGAAGAGATCCGATCCGAAAAATCCAAAGCCACCCCAATCAATGTGAATGAAATGGAATGAAATGAATTCCGCTTTTGTCTTTTCTTTACTTTGCCTTTTGTATTTTTTTGTGTGTGGTCAGCGCCTGGGAAATTGTTCGAGTGAATGAATGAATGATATACTGACCAAACGTTATCCCATTTCTTATCTTATTTTTCACAAATATATACAATATATTACCTTAAACTTTGATCGCTTAATTAAACCACTTTTTAACCCACTAAAAAGTATTAACTTTTCCACAATCAATCAATCAAACAAACAGTTTCCACCGCGTCTGCGGGAAATTCAAAGGAAGTGAGCAAAGCTGGGGCGAAACTTTTAACCAGAAGGCTGGCGGTTGGTTTGTTGGCTGGAAAATGGGGGGCACATTTTCCACCGGGAGTTGCTGTCAGGTTTCCGGACCACAGACGAGAAGTTCAATGCTCCTCTGGCGGTGGCAACTTCACTCCATTTCCCCACTCTCCTCTCCCCATTTTCCATTTTCCATTCGCCGGCAACATAATGCAATTTATGAAACGGGAGAGCTCGGCTTACTTGCCACTTACCACTCTATATCCACAATTTAGCCACATTTAAACGGAAGTTTTAGGCCCACAACTACAAAGCAAGGCTGGAAATTAACTTTTTGCTCCATAAAAAAATATTCATCAAATTAATGGATTTTTTAGGAATTCCTTCCTGTAAAAGAATAAATAAAATTATTTCTTTAACTATCTCAACTATGCACTCAACAAAAATATTCGCCCCTAAATTTTAAAAATTGTCGCCATTTTTTTTTAATTTTTTGTTATTTAGCTATATTTTTTTAATTTAAAAAAAGTATTTTACTTAGTAAGTTTACTTTATTTAAACGCAATTACTATTTTATTGGTAGCTCTAATTTTTTAAGTAAACGTTTTCTGTTTAATTAAAAAGATAGTTAGTAGGTCACATAATTTTGTACTACTATTACTACTTTGAAAATCTTACTCGCTAGCCGTAAGCCACGCCTTGGCTATCATTCAAAAATTAAATACCTTGCCAACATCAATTGTACAACTCAATTTCCCACCAAAACCGAAGAATAAATAAGTACAAAAAAAATAAAGAGAGAGACGAAAAGATCGGCCCAAAGCTTGTCAAACACACATTTTTTCTCACTGGGTGTGTCCGATAATATAAAACCCAAATACCTGAAAAAAGAAAGATATATATAAGCTTGAATTGGCTTTGAGTCACGTCGCTCGGAGACTCTGGAGAAAAAAGCTCCTCTGTCCCGGCAAAGCTTTATTTGTTATTGTTTATGGCAGAAAACAAATGAAATGACAACTTCGATCAAATATAAATGCCGATAAATAAGGATTGTCTGCATCTGCGGGAAACGAAACTCGATCGCTTCGAGATCTCGCAAACATACAAAAATAAATATAAATAAAAATATACGATAGAGATAAAAATGTTTATAAGTGTAGCTGTTGATTGATCAATTAAATGGAAGGCGGAGATTGCGAAAAAAAGAGTTCAACAATCTCTAATCGTTCAATAATTGCACAGTAATGCCTAAAGCAGTTTAACCTATTTAAAAGTAGTTTACAAATAATTGAAAAATTTTATTTACATTTAATTTGAATTTATTTGAATTATTTTTACCAAAAATTCACAAACAAACTTTGAATTTCTCCCTGTTTAATTAACCAAAAAGCCATGCCCCTTTTTCTATGTTTGCACACATTTAACCCAAATGACAAGAGGGCCCAAGTAGCCCCATTGGGCATGGAAAATGGAAAAGCGGAAAATGGGAAATGGGAAAAAGAAGTTGGAGGTGACTGCACAAGAACTAAAACATAGCGAAAAGCTAATGCAAATTGCAGTCGCCACTCCTGTCTGTCTCGGTTTTTTTCTCCTTTTTTTATTTTTTTTTTATTTTTTGGTTTTGTGTGCAACTGTGCCACATGGGGTTTTTCTCTCTGCCGGCTGGGCTGGCGTCTTTTCCCGCTTTCCACGATTTCCCAACCCGAAAACACTTAAAAGTGCAATGCACTCGACGCCGGCAGAGCAACGGTACTCGCACCTAGGCAGCCGCAAAAATGGATGATAAAACAAGCGAAACTAAACAAATGCACAACGAGAAAAATATATTGAAATTAATTTAATAATTAATATTACAAAAAAATGACTCGGAATAACGTTTCTACCTTACTTTAATGATAAGGGGCTTAGTTCCAACTCGATTTTATGATATTTTAATGAACTTACAAGGAAAGTATGTAACACAAGCAAATACAATTACATACTTAGTTTCATGTTTAAATTATTTTAAAATACTTTTTTTTATTTCTGTATAAATTGATACATAAATATTTTTCTCTCTGTTGAGGCCAAAGCTAGGCAACAACAAACAGAAATAAATAAAAGTAAAACAACAGACATCTAAGTGCGGTAACCGCGAAAACCGCGAACCGGCATCGAATCCCCTTAACCCACAACAGCTCAGCACCCTTCGCCCCCTTAACCCTTGTGTTTTCGACTAGGCCATACAAAAAAATGGTCTACAATTTTGAATAATTAAATCTAAAAGAAAGTTTTAGGCAAATTAAAACTAATTACACGGCAATATAAAAAATGCAAGGCTTTATTTGTTTTATTTATGATTTTGTTCATTTAAAAATTATTCAAAATTATTCCACAAATAAAGATTTTTATATTGAAAATCATTTAACCATTAAAAAATTACCCTAAGAAATTACTTCGCTGTTTATATTTTTTTTTGTGGTTTCATATTTTTTATTTATGTACTAATCGTTCGTATATCTCGGTTTGTAAACAAAGAGGCCTATTTTTAAAGGCAAATTTTGGATTTGTATCATCGCAAATTGTGGAGGAAATAAAGTGGAGTGGTGTTCCGTCGTCGAATAAAAGAGTGAGAAAACGAACCAAGAAACGCGGCCCAAATTACCAAATTGAAGGCAATGAATGATGACATCAGCACGCTGTTTTTGTTTGTTTGCAGAGTGGCAGAAAAAACACAGAGTTTCCTGGCTTACTATTGATTTTGTGGCGGCAAAAAAAGAGGAAAAAAATAATAAAGGATTTTTTTGGACTGCGACATGCGACATGCAACATCTAAAATGACATCATAAAAGGATTTTGCTCGTGGACAACGAAATTGGATTAAAAACTGGTCGAGAAGAGAGAGAGAAAGACGTCGACGGTCGAATGAAAATGACGCAATCGCCAGCTGTTCGAGTTCGAGAGATGAAAGACCAAGACTAAAATTGAGATCCGGAGAAGTCCACATGGTAAAGCTCTGAAAAAGATACAGATCGTGGCGGCGATGATATCAATATATATCTCCGACACCCAACGCACACATTCTCTCTCGCCTTAGAGCGCATAAATTTATTGGTATATGCATGGTAATATATACATATGTATATATATTTATCCACTTGGAACGCACACATTTTTGTGCTCCCAAATTCACTCAAATTTTCGGGCGTTCCATTTTAATTATAACAAATGCCAGGCAGGCAATTGCAGGCCAAAAATGAAAATATCAACATAAATCTCCCACAAAATGGGCGCGCGGTATGAAAGGGGTCGAAAAAGATATCGATGATATCATATAATGTATATTCAGCAGCCGTCAGAAGTGACAAAAACCAATAGAGAACGTAGTGCCAAAGTGCCAGAGTGTGAATCAAAAATTGATCGACCCAAAGCGAGATAACGCAAATTACAAAAGCCCCTGTGGAATTGATAAATAAATGAAAAGTTCCCTCGTTGTTCTGTTCAAGAACAATTCAATTACGAAGGAAATCACCCAAGATCAGAAAGAGTCATCAGAACAAGGGGGATATATTTGGGGTTTAAGAGCCAGCCGATAAGGAATTCCCGGGGAAATCTGGAAGAAATCAAAAACCATTTTTGGCCATGTGCATTTTGCAGAAACCCTCTAGGGATTAAGTATAAACTTATCACAAAACTGGGAAGCCCAAAAATAATACATATAAAGTTTTGTAGGTTGGATCATGACTGATCCACAACAAGTCTTCTGAAGATTCTGAATAGTAATTGATGACAAATTGCAAATTTATTTTCCCGCAGAGAGAGAGAGAGATCGGAAAATCGCCACAGAGAGGTGACAATAACAAATAGGCGAAGCATGACCAAAAAAAAGCAACAATACAACGATGCTTTGAACATATTCAAGTGGCCCTGAGTGTGATTCTCCATTTCCAGTACCTACTCAATTAATGAACTGCTTTAATTATGCTTGACTTTTCCAATTGTTCGTGGCATAAATTATAGGGGATGGTTCTCTATCGATAAACTTTCAATGTTCCGTTTCAAGATCTTCGCTTATCGCTCTCTCAATGAAAGCGATCCCTGTTATTGGAGGTTATCTTGCATTGCACAGGAAATTACGCAAGACTTTATAAGTTAAAAATATTTAACAGAAATAAAAAGAAATTCAAATGTGAAGCCAAAGGTTGCTATAAATTAGTCAAAAATTAAATTTAAATATGATTTTCGTTGTCTCGAAAGAAATACGTATATAAAATTGCGATTGCATATCAGCAACTTGACTTTGGAATATATATGTATAAGCGATTCGTTTTTGGATTTACTTTTGTGGTAGTCGGTTAAACTAAAGAAACAGTTGATAAAAAGCCAAACGAACAATTTTAAATGTTTTGGAAAATGTTCAAATATTTTTTATCATATGGTTTCAAACCATTTATAACAGAAATGTTTAATTAAAAATTCTATGCTTAAAAACCATTGTTTCAAAAAGGATTTAGATAAGTTTTGAATCTTTTTTGGAGCCTACAAAGTATATTTCTACTAATCCCAAAATCCACTTTTCAAAGGCCATCAAGCGCATTTATTAACCAACTGGCAGGCTAATTTAGTATGCTGCTTCAGTTGGCGTAGTTTCTGTTATTCCTTTATTTATTTATTATTATTTTTTTCTTTTTTGGGTCGATTCGGGGCGGGGGCATTGCTGTCGACGGCGTTGCTGGGGCGGAACGAACTGCCGTATATTCACTATTCACAACGATGACGTCGTCGCGATGACCGCATGGTCAAAAACAGCAACAAAATAGAGGCGAGAAGGAAAAACAGCAATTTAAGTTGACTTTAAGTCATAGGAACTTTATCAACTCGAAATATTTCGATTTTCGAATACTACCAAAAATATTCAAATAAGAATTTCGGGTTTTGGATCAAATATGTTTCTCCTTTTTTTTAAAAAAGTTTACTTTTCGACCTTGACTTGGTTAGTAATTAAACCTTGTTTTAAAAAAGGTATTTTTGAATATTTTCGATGGCAATTGGAAAACCCGTTATCTCTCTCTATTTTCCAGGTATCTGATCGATAGAAGTTAGAGAGAAATCGCTTTGAATATAAAATATACATGTGAAAACACCAGAAGAGCGCCAAAGAGACGAATACCGAGGGAGAGGTGAAACGAACAAAAAAAAAGAGCTCGAGCTCAAAGTGATCTCTTGAAGCTGCCCCACCTTATACACACACACATATATATATACACACGTATAAATGTAGCCGTAATTCGCGCTCATTGTCTGCGCTCTTCTTCTTCTTCATCATCTTTGCTAGCTGCTAGAAAACCTGTTTTAAAGCCACTAAAAAAAAACGCTGTGTGTGACTTAAGATTACGCCCTTGTACAACAAAATTGTTACAAAAACATATATAATGCTTACCTCTAAACTATGCAGAAAAAGCCAGGAGCACAACAAGTCAGGATTTGGCCAAAAAGCGCTCAAGAACTCAAAACTCAGGTGAAAGAGAGAGGGCAACGAAAGAGAGAGCGAGAGAGCTCAAAACGAAGTTTTGGCTTCGTGGTAAATACAAATACATACATCCAGCTTAATTTTGAGTTTTGAGCGCTTTTTGGTCGTGTGTACAGTTAATGTCGCCCTTTGTTGTTGTTGTCTTTAGTTTATTTGGCTTTTATCTGGCGTCCTCCGACTTGCTCTCCTTCTCCTTTTTTGTTGTCATCGTGTGCTTCGCACTTGGCGTGGATTTTGCATTGCCCTTTAATTGCATTCGCAGCCATTCATTGGAATTGGTCAGCAGCAAAAAAACTATTAACTTTTTTGGGGTGCGGCAACAAAAAAAAAGGTGGAAGTAACGCTCTCTTTACAAACAATTTTGTTATGGTTTTTGCTCTTCGCCTGGCGATTTGTGTCCGTGTGCCAGCTGCCAATTTTAAACAATTCCCAGACAAGCACGCCCGCACACTCACACACACGAACGCACACTCGAAAAAAAACTAAGACTAATTTATATGTGCCAAGTGCCAAGTAAATAAGACAATTTTCCACACGGCGTCAGTCAATTTTACTATTTTATTTTCAATTCCCGGCGCTCACTAACACCGGCGCACTCCAGCACACACACACACACAGCGGAATAACGGACGCGCGCAACGAATTGTTAGGATTAAAAAAAAATATATAAATGTTTAGGCCTCAGAATGAGGCGTCCAAACAACAATATATATTCGGGCGCATTCGAATATGTATCGCGGATTCTGGACTCGGTGGTCGCTGAATGGCGAACGGTGGTCGGGACATACACAACGGAGCACAGCAGCGCGAGTCGAAATTAAAAAATTGAATGAGAACGGATGGGAATTTGGCCTGGGGTGTACATTTGGGCGATACTTTGCGCGATACTTTCAAAAACATCGATTGGCTGCAATCGAGGGACTGCCATCACTCGAAATGTTAAGATACAACGTTAAACGAAATGTTAAGATAACATTTTTGGAGAATTTTTAATCGATTGGCTGATATCGAACAGGTTAACATGTTTAACAACAGTAGCATTTACCGAATACATATTCCTAAGTAGCAGATACACCCTCCTCTTTATTTATAGGCGGTAGATTGGAATTTTTTAATGAAGAATGCTCCGCTCCTTCCCGCCAATGTATAGCATCAATCCAATCAATCTCATAAAAAATGTGAAAATTGGCAAAATTATTATTTTTCCAAAATCACAGGGAAAGTGTTACGGATTTATTTATTATATTGTTATCTGTTCAAACCAGCATGTATTTTTGATGTGAGGCCATGTTTGGCCAAGTTACAGCAAAAAATCGAAAAGAAAAAATCCTTTTTTTTCTAGAAACCCAGATCCCAATTTTCCACAGAAAATAATTAGTTTTTTGACCGTAACAATGGAAATATTGATCCAAATATGGATTGTCATACCTTTCTGAACTCGTTATTAAATTTCAAATCGATTGGCATTTAAATCTGAAATTTTTTTTTTTTTTAAATTTTTTGTAAAAAATTATGATGTACCCCCTTATAAAAAAAATTCAAAATTGGTAAAAATTTTATTTTTTTCCAAAATAACACGAAAAATAATATTTTGCTGATATATCCTGGAAAAACACGGTCTACTATTGGATCTACTAACGAATCTTCATCGTTCTATGCCTAAAATGCTTGCATTTGATATTAAAATAAAATATTCCCTATGTGTCAGGTTATCTTTAAAAAAATTGTTTTTACTTAGAGTACTAATTTCTTCTGATTTTGTGACGAAAATTACACTTTGTGTGGTAAATTACACAATCCTGGCTTTAAAAAAGGCCTGGAATGCATTTAATAAAGCATTAAATGCAGTCATTTTGATGTATCCTTTCCGGGAATGCCCCTAATAAATACTCAAGGAGCTGTGCCAAGGAGGTATTTTCCCTCAGCCACGGCTGGTCACCCTAGCCGCATTCATGCCGCGCAGTTCGCGAACAACGACGAACTTTCGAAGCAACCACGAACTTTGCGAACTCGCAGCCAGGAATCGACCCCCCGCCGAAGGAAACCCCCCCTCCCGCCGAGCCCTCCTGTCAGTTGGCCACCCGCAAGGAGCTTCAATCGGTAGCTAGAATACCATCCCCGCACAATTCTCGTTACGCGCCGCCGCATGAACGAGGCGACTCACTCTTTCTTTCTTTCAGCCCAGAAGTGCCCAGAATTATTGCCATTGGAGCAGCGATTTTGGCTGCAAAATGAGGCAGTTGGCGATCGGCGAGGAGCGCAGGAGCAGGAACCAGGAAGCGGGTCACTAGCTGGGATTACCAGGCGGAGCAACAAGTTCCCCGGGAACGCAACAAGTTATCAACAATCATCTAACCACATCACATCATCAATCATGAGCCTCTTTGGCTCCAAGAAGAACCGCTCCCTGTCCGTGCGGGTGAGCACCTTCGACTCGGAGCTGGAGTTCAAGCTGGAGCCGCGTGCCTCTGGCCAGGATCTCTTCGATCTGGTCTGCCGAACGATCGGACTGCGCGAGTCCTGGTACTTTGGACTGCAGTACGTCGACACGCGCAGCAATGTCTCCTGGCTGAAGATGGAGAAGCGGGTGCGCGATCAGCGGGTGGAGCTGCATGCCGGCAATAACAATGTGTATGTGTTCAGCTTCTATGCGAAATTCTTTCCCGAGAATGTCAGCGAGGAGCTGATCCAGGAGATCACCCAGCACCTGTTCTTCCTGCAGGTCAAGCAGAGCATTCTCTCCATGGACATCTACTGCAGGCCAGAGGCCTCCGTTCTGCTGGCCTCCTATGCTGTGCATGTGCAGTACGGGCCGTATGACTATGAGACCTACAAGGATGGCATGCTGGCCGGCGGCGAACTGCTGCCGAAGGGAGTGACGGATCAGTACCAAATGACGCCCGAGATGTGGGAGGAGCGCATCAAGACCTGGTGGGTTGGCTGCCTCTAGGATTATCCTATTATCCTCATCTTTTGCTCCCTTCTAGGTACATGGACCACGAGCCCATGACGCGCGACGAGGTGGAGATGGAGTACCTGAAGATCGCCCAGGACCTGGACATGTACGGAGTGAACTACTTTCCTATTACAGTGGGTATACAGAATCACCAGGGAATCTTTTCTAATCCCCAATCTCTTCCAGAATAAGAACAAAACCAAATTGTGGCTGGGCGTCACCTCGGTGGGCCTGAACATCTACGATGAGCGCGACAAGCTAACGCCAAAGACCACGTTCCAGTGGAACGAGATACGGCACGTGAGCTTCGACGACAAGAAGTTCACCATTCGCCTGGTGGACGCCAAGGTCTCGAACTTTATCTTCTACTCGCAGGACCTGCACATCAACAAGATGGTAGTATTACCTTTAAAAGGAACTTAGCATTTAATCCATGTGTTATTCTACAGATTCTCGACCTCTGCAAGGGCAACCACGACCTGTACATGCGGCGCCGCAAGCCAGACACCATGGAGATCCAGCAGATGAAGGCCCAGGCCAAGGAGGAGAAGCAGCGGCGCCAGATCGAGCGCAAGAAGTTCATCAGGGAGAAGAAGCTGCGCGAGAAGGCCGAGCACGAGCGCTACGAGCTGGAGAAGAGCATGGAGCATCTGCAGAACGAGATGCGCATGGCCAGCGATGCGCTGGTAAAATAACTAACTAACTAAGCTTTTCGCTGTTCTAAATCTTCCCTTTCTTCCCTACAGCGCCGCTCCGAGGAGACCAAGGAGCTGTACTTCGAGAAGAGCCGCGTCAACGAGGAGCAGATGCAGCTGACCGAGTGCAAGGCGAACCACTTCAAGACCGAGATGGACCGCCTGCGCGAGCGCCAGATGAAGATCGAGCGGGAGAAGCACGAGCTGGAGAAGAAGATACGCGACGCGGACTTCTATGTCCACCAGCTGACGGTGGAGAACGACAAGCGGGAGGCGGAGACGGAGAAGCTGCGCAAGGAGCTTATTTGCGCCAAAATGGCGGAGCGAGAGGCGACCGCCAGGCTGCTAAATTTCCTGAATAGCGGGCGAAAGTCTTCGACGGACAGTTTGCTTACAGCCGCCTCCAGTGTGTCGCATGTGGCCAATACGGCGGCCATCAGCACGCCCTCGCTGCTGACCACCAGCAGCTCCACGAACGACATAGAGACCGCCGGCGGCGCCGAGCTGACCGGCAACTATCTCGCCCAGGGCGACAACTCCAGCGGCATCTCCGACGACTTTGAGCCCAAGGAGTTCATACTCACCGACAACGAGATGGAGCAGATCACCAACGAGATGGAGCGCAACCATCTCGAGTATCTGCGCAGCTCCAAGAAGCAGGTGCAGAACCAGCTGCAGGTCCTCCGCTCCGAGATAGCGCCGCACAAGATCGAGGAGAACCAGAGCAGCTTCGACATACTCAGCGAGGCGCAGATCAAGGCGGGCGAGAACAAGTACTCCACGCTCAAGAAGCTCAAGTCGGGATCGACGAAGGCGCGGGTGGCCTTCTTCGAGGAGCTCTGACCACCGGGATTCACTAGATGTACGATAGTTGTACCATACCTATGCTATACTAAATGTTTTTCGATTGTTTACTCAAGCCGCTGCTGTAATAAACCAATTGCAAGGCCTCTCAACGGGCCAAAAGATATACATATGTGGAACTCTATGGGGTTGGTAGAGCCCAGTGCTGCCATTTTGGCCTTTTTCAGGACAGATCTGTTCTTATCCGGACAAAAATTTCAAACATCCCCTATCCGGAAATCTGTCCTTTTTTCAAAAATAAGGTTTCGAGTGTTATTTTTGCTAGTCGAAAGTGTGTAGAACTGTTTTTATAGCATCCTTCTTGCGGTTCGTCAATTAAAAAATAATTCCTTTTACAAATTATAAAAGCAGTCGATGGATTTTCTTTATAGTACGATTTTTTCTGTAGCAAAAAAAAGAGAAACACATTTTAAAAATAGCTGCCTTTTTGTGAGAAAAAAATGTCAGGTTTGAACGACAGAAAAGTGGAATTTTTTATATTACCAATGTAATGCATGAAACATGAAATGCTTTTTATTATTCTAATAATTTTAGACTATTACGTATACGCACAAAAATTTACCATGGTAAAATGATCAAAAGAAGAAGGTTGTGAGTGGGGCGCAGTAGATCATAGTATAATTGAATTTAATATAAAATCCATTTAAATTAAGTAAATATATAACCTTTTTTTAAAATTGTTTTTCCTTTTTCCCCCTATTTTTTTTGGCTTATCTGTCCTGTTTCTCAAGCTGAGTGGGGGCAGCACTGGTAGAACCCACAAATGTGAGGAGCATCGCTCTATCTTGCTCTAAACCAGGTACGCAAGCAAGTTGAGGTAGTCCCATAGTCTAGTAAATAATACGAAAATGGGGTATAATCTAAAACCAAAGTAGCTTTATTACTGTTTTAAAACATGTGATCATTTACATTTAATTACTTAGCTTCCTTCTTCCTTCACTAAACAAATAAACGTATCGGTCCAGCTCCAGTTTCTGCCCACCCACCCAATTCCCCCGTTCAAGTTGGCTCACCTGCATACTCCTCGCATATATGGTAATAGTACTTACAGGGTATACATTGAACTCATACGCTTTTATATTATAGTGTGTGTGTGTGAATTGAGGGATCGGAACCCCAGAAGATCCAAAAGAAGTTCCCAAAGAGTCGGTTATATGCTTAGAGTTTTAAATAGGAATTTTAAATAGCTTTCACGTCTTTTTTTTTGTCAACACCATGGAATATTTGGATGTACCTACTATATACCCTATGTACACACTTGTGGACCTACAGTAGATACCGCTAGTGCGCAACTTTATACATTTTGATTCTCTTAAACGGATGGCTTAAGGTTAGATAACGCTGGGAGATTACTCTTAGGTGTATTAACGAATCGATAACCATTTTGACTACTCGTATTGCTTGTATACATATTCCATTGCATATAGCCGATATCTACTGTAGCACTTGGCGAGAAAAGGGAGGGGGAATCGGATGGGGGAGCCAAATGAAAAAAAAAACCCAGTATCCTTAGAACCTCGTTCGTTTCTTCCTCAAGCACACAACTGGAATTTACATCGATATATATATAGTTACATCAATAATGACAAGGGAGAGCACCAACCTGTTGGAAATTTATTGAAATTCTAGGTTGTCTCTGTTGGGGAATTGTGTGTTTTGTCTGGAGATATATAATATATATGCTTCGTGGCGCATATTCAATTGGGGTTTCCGCTTTAGAGCCCTCGAAAAAGTAAATAATTAAAAAAAAATAATGATATCAACTACGCAAGTGCCGACACTTTGGTATGCGATCTCTATCTATGCTCTTCTATCATATCCATCCGTAATATCTCTCCGTTCTCCAGGCTCCTATTTTTGTTGTGTGTTTTGTGTGTTGTATGGTCATGAAGGATTCAAGATATTTCCGGCTTAATAAGGGGAATAAGCAATCAGCATGGAATTTTTGTGTGTGTGTTTCCCCCCTTTCTCATCATCATCATCATCAATCGTTATCATCGTATCATTCGCGTTCTCCAGGGCTATAGTGTTAGATATATAGATGTAGTTGGTAGATATATAGACAGGTTGTGTACAGTTTGGAAATGGCTTAGCGTTGTTAACTCAGGGACAGCTGGTTGAGGGACAGAAGTCGCTCCACAGCCGCATTGATGTCCCCAAAGGTGGCGATCAGGGCTGTGAATTCATAGGGATTAGTATATTTAGATTGTTACTTATTATCTCATAGCTCACCCTGCAAATTGGCATCCCGGTTGCCGAAGCCCATCGCCGCCAGCTGCTCCAGCTGCGACTGGTAGCGCACCTCGGGCGGCTGTGTGCCGTCTGCGTTGTTCGACATCCCGTTGAGCATGCGCATCATGAAGTCGTTGAAGAGCTGCGCATTCGGACCGCCACCCGGTGCCAAGCTGGGCACGGGATTAGCGGCGTTTGGTGAGGCATTGTTGGTGGTGCTTCCACCATCACCGCTGGCCGGATCCGCATCCGTGTTGCCAACTCCTGGCGGCGGCGGCGGAATGCCCAAAGTGCCAACGAGTCCCGGGGCCGCGCTGCGCAGCTGCTCCATGCCCTGCTGGATCTGCAGGATGGCGTTCATGGCGTCCGGATTGGTCAGCATGTTCTGCACCTCGGGATTCTGCATCTGTGCCATGAACTGCGGCATCATCTGGCGCACCTGATCCTGCAGAGCGGGATTATTGGACAGCAGGGGGCTGCTGCTCAGCAGGCGCGATGCCATGTCCGGATCCTGCGACATGGACTCCATCATGGAACGCGTGTAGGGGGCGTTCAGGAGGTTCTGCATCATGGCCGGATTGTCGGCCATCTGCTGGAGCAGGCTGCGCATGGCCGGCGTGTTGAGGACATTGTTGGGCGGCAGATCTCCAGTACGATTGGCGGTGCCTGTGCCATTTGTCCCGGAATTGGCACCTCCACCGCCGCCCCAGGGATTCGGCAACGGGTTGCGGTTCTCGGTGCCCTGCTGCGGATTGATCCCAGCGCCCAGGCCGCCGTCCACCAGGCCGGCAAAGGGATTGCGGCCAAAGGACTCGGTGGCGGCGTTCATCATCGGCTCCTGGATGTCGCGGTAGATCCGCTGCAGCGCACTATATCCGCCCGGCACGGACTCCAGATTGGACATGGCCCGATCGTGCGAACGCATCAGCTCCTGCAGCATCGAGGGATTGCGGGCCAGCTCCATTGTCTGGCGCAGCAGGTCCGGATTGTTGAGCATGTGCGAGATCTCCGGGTTGCGCTGCATCAGATCCTGCATCTGCGGATTCGACGTGATCAGCTGGCGCATCGTGTCCGGATTGTTCATCATCTGCTGCACCAGCGGATTGTCCATCAGAGATCGCAGCATATCGCCATTATTGAGCAGCTCGTTCTGCATGCGTGCCTGCAGATCCATGAAGGTATTCGATCCGGCACCCAGTGCCTCCATGCCCGCCAGGCCACCGAATTGATTCAGGCCAAAGGGCGTCTGGCGGACATCCGCCGGCTGGCGGGCGGGCGCCTCGTTGTTGCGCGTCGGCGCCTTGATCACCAGATGAACCGTCAAGTTGTCCTTGATGTTGTGCATCTTCAGGGTGTCCGTGTCCTTCATGATCTTCCCGGCGAAGATGAGCACCAGCTGCTCGGGCTCCGCCTCGAACTTTTGTGCCACCAGAATTTTGAACTGCAGAGTGGAGATGTTGTATTATTATTAAATAATTTTTTGGTTCCCTAAGGGTTAAGCTGCAGTGGGGTACCTGTACCCGTACCTGTACCTAGTGCGGGCAAAGTGCACTGTACCTGTGCGCCCGTACCGTTACTTTTTTCGGTGCGTCTTAGGCAAAGTGCACTGTACCCCGCGATTACAGGGCGAAAGAAAGGGGGTTGGGGGGAGGTGGAAGAGAGGGTAAATCAATGGTCACGCGCCCCGCACCCCGCACCGCGCACCCACCTCTTTTATTCCAGAATCTTCGTCAACCTCGACCGTCTTCTTGTCCTTTGGCGTTTTCACAACCACGTTGATGCGCTTGCTGCCGCCTTCCGCCATTTCGCTGCTCTTCTTGTCGCCTTCGCCGTGTCTCTGGTCTTTGCCTGCGCCGATTTAGCTCGTGTTTCGGGTGGGGGGGTGTCCAAATTGTGTCACAACTGCAATTTTTCGTCGGCTGCTCTGGCTGGGATACGTGTTTTCAAACTAAATTATTTCCCATTTGATGAAAAGTAATTCGTCACTTTCTCACTCACACACACACACACGCACGCCCGTTCGCTCGCACACATACGCTGGGTTCGATTTTCGCCAGGGCTACTGTGTGGCAGCGGCTATCGATATGTCGATAGACCGTCAAGTGTGCTATTATCGGTTAGTTTGCAGTGCGCACTATTTAAATTATGTTTCCTTCCCATGAAAACCGTTGCAAAAGTGTAATTCCCCCTTAAATTGCAGACAATAGGCAGAAAACACAACCCACCGATATACCCAAGAGATACCCCAGCCCTGGTCATATCGCGTCCGATACTGCGATAAGTTTCGATAAGCTGGGCGGTCACACTGCGGACCAGAAAATAACCAAACCAAAAGCAAAAAACGCGAGCGGGGGCAGGGAGGAGAGCGATCGCCGTCCTTAGCCAACTGAGGATTCAAATCTGCAAATCTGCAAGCGAACATAAACGATAAATAAGACACAGTTATTGGCCAAAAGCGCATATTAACGGTAGTCCCTGTACAGTAGACGATAGCCAGTGAAAAAGGCAGCCCCCACCTGGGCAGTGAAATGTTTAAGAGCCACTTCCAGGAACGCAGCGTATGAACGTATAAACGGTTTCCGAGAACTGTCCACCAATACAGACAGCCAACAAGTGCCACGGCCAGCAAGGTGATTTAGTGTGTGTGCGAGAGAGAGAGCGGCGTGTCGGTGTGCGCGTGTGCCTGCTAGTGTGTGAGTGAGGAAGAGAGGAGAGGAGAGATTAGAGTGGACCTTGACAGCGGCATAGCGGCAGCTGGAGAGGATTAGGATTAAGATGTTGCTCCAGGCGCTGCTCGTGCTCGTGCTCACCCTCGCCGGCTGGGGCGAGGCCAAGGCGGTCATCGTGGAGCCCGGCTGGATGATTCCCGGCAAGGTGGAGCAGCTCATCGGCGGCGATCTGAACATCAGCTGCACCCTCAACGAGGAGTACTTCCGCACCAGCAAGGATCACTGCCTCGTCGACCAGCTGTACGTGAGCGGCGGCGGTCAGGTATACACCGGTCCCCAGTACATCCGCATCCTGAACAACACCACCATCCTGTTCAGCGTCACGAATGCCGCCGAGCAGGAGCACGAATATCTGTGCATGTGCGGCGAGTATGTGATCAATAAATCAATGGTTTATGTCGGAACCAGCCCGCTCCTGGTGCGCGACTTCAATTGCCTGGACTACGACTTCCAGTTCATGGTCTGCAACTTCACCCAGCCGCCCAACAGGGTCATCACCAAGTACAACATCAGCTACAACACCAACAACGACTGGCGCTACAGCAACACCCTGGACTGCAACTTCGATTCGGCACCGCTGGTCACCTGCAATCTCACCGATGACAACTACAAGCGCTTCAGCGAGACCTTCTACTTCCGTCTGTATATCGTTAATGCCTTGGGTCACGAGACCCAGCCCATCACGATCAATCACTTCGAGCGTTTGGTTCCGGCGCGACCTGGTCAAAACCTGACCATGGTCAACCGAACGGAGAGCTCGGTGTGCCTCTCGTGGGAGATGCCGCGGCGCTCCAACTACAATCGCGGCCTCACCTGGCAGGTGGCCGTCGATCCGCAGAACTTCGATACCATCAGCCGGCCCAGCTGGCTGAACAATAGCTCGACCATTAAGGATCTGCTCTGCCTCACGGAGCTGCCCTTTGCCGGCTACAATTACACGCTGCGCCTGCGCGTGCGCGCCAACCAGAACAACACGCTGTGGAGCGAACCGCTGATCTATGCCTTCGCCACCGCGCCGGCGCCACCGCGTCGTCCGCCGCGCGTCACCTACGGCAGCTTCTATGTCTACTCCTCGGAGACGGGCATGCGCTTCTACTGGGAGGCCCTGGCTGCCCACGAGCTGAACGGCCCGGACTTTCGCTACGTCATCAGCGAGTACCGCATCAATGGGACAGAAGTGTGAGTATTTTGGAATGTAGTTAGTTAAACCAGTCTCAAATCTTATAGTAGTTAGTATACAGTGTATAGTATTTAGTATACAGTATATAGTATTTAGTATACAGTCTATAGTATTTAGTATACAGCATATAGTATTTAGTATACAGTCTATAGTATTTAGTATAGAGTATTTAGTATACAGCATATAGTATTTAGTATACTGTCATAGTATTTAGTTTACAGCATATAGTATTTTAGTACACAGTATATAGTATTTTAGTATAGAGTATCTAGTATTTTGTATGTGATGTGGTTGTGAAACGGCGGAGAGATTCGCCGGAACAACAACCGACGACTTCTTGCGAATACGTAAGACAAGCCATACGGCGTAGTATTTGCACGAGCACACACAGAAAACAGAAAAGCAGAAAAGCTGAAAGGCAGAGAGGAGGAGAGCCACATTTCCACTGTAGGGGTTCCATTCCGTTGAAAATGTTTATTTTTAACAATTCGTCCGAAGTGCCGATGTGCCGATGTATGGTACACATGCACACCATCGGTATTCTGTATTCAGTACTCAGTACCCGGTAACCAGTAACCAGTAGCAGAATCAAAATCACAAGTGGGGGCAAAAACACGTTCATTAATGGGAAGAAGATGGGAGGAGTTTTACGCGAATGCACTTCCACAGAAATCTTTGGGAGTAAAACCCGTCCGCCAGCAGATAGATAACCTCATCCTCTGGATTCTCTGCCCCTCTGACGCCACTGTTTATGTTTTAAGACTAAACAATCTTCTAAATTATTAGGCAATTATAAAGAAAATATCTAAGGGAACAGAACCTTATAGAAGAATTTTTATCACAACTACAAAAAAAAGAAAACAAAAATATATTACCTGTGCCAAAAATAACCCATAGATACGTCTAGATCAGACTTAGGTCCCTGCCTTCAAATATTTCTAACAATAACACATCTGGGCGAGATAAGAAACCGGTGACAAAAGCAATTTCTTTGATATCAAATTTGGAAAACAAAAAAACCTTCAAATATTTTTATTTTTGACTCTCTTGTAGATAATTTCTATTGTAAAAAGTTAAGAAAACCATAACAAAGCGTTCATAATATGGTAACATAAGAGACTGTTTGTTTACATGTAGAATATAATAATATAAAAGAATAAAATGATTCCGCCAAAATGTATGCCACATAAAACTAACTTTTAAAAGTATTTAATTAATTTAATCATAAAAATCAGTGACATCGCAATGTGGAAATGTTAGCTTTGCGGTAGGTCCATTTGGTACTATGAATGTTTTTGGGAAACCATTTGCTTTGCATTTTAATAAACCGATAAGACCCCAATTTCAATAAAACCCAAAGCAATTTTTCTAAGTAATTTATTTTTCCAATAAACTAAGATGATATTTTAAATTCTTAAAAGATATATATTAAGCAATTTTTTACTGTCTGGAAATCCAGACTAAACGGAATCTCGCTATATGTAAAGTTAGCTATTTTTCCATTTTATGCCCGATTCCATGAACTCGATTTGTAAGGACTCTTCTCAGAAATGAGATAATTCACAATAAAAAGTGATAACTTTTGATCTTGATCGGATGCATTGAATGAGCATTAAATGAAAATTAAAGCACAGGTCAATGAACTAAATGATTCATTTGATTTGTTTTATGAGTAATGATTTTATTAAAGCATCTTAATTAATTTAAAGAATTTTCAGATTTTAATAAAAAATTATCTTATAATATTACTCTATCAAAAGCAAAATAACATATATGAAATGTGTACTTTAAACAACCAGTACATACAAATGTATATACTGGTTTGAATATTTTCATTATTTTGTCAAAAAAAAAATGTTTTTTTAAGATAACAATTCTCAGAATAATAATAAATAAAACTCAGCTGATTTGGTAAATTTCTTGGAATTGTTAGCTAGATTTATTAGTTTTTTTCTTTCTTTATCACGACGGTATTTTGAATCAAGGGCGGATGTTTTTCATTGTTTGATTAAGGTCACAGATCATAGATTAATGGTAGATTTCAATAAAATTCCAAGTTCCAATGAAAAACAATTACTTTTTAGGGTATTTTTTTTGTAAAGTCCAAAAAACCTAGAAGCTCAATTGCGCGTCTTCAAATTTTACAATCTATTTTCCTATGTATTTAAATGATAGATAAGAAACTTAACATTTTAAATACTCACGCACATGCAAAATGAATAAAATATAATATAAACATTAGTTTGATTGATAAGAATTTAAAATTTGAATAGATTAAATTAAATAATTAAATATTAAAATATTAAATTCCCATAAGAAGTATAATAAGTAAACCTTCTTCCCTTTAACCCCTTTTCAGCGATCCTGGCTTGATCAAGGTGGAGTCCAACTCGGCGATAATTGACCACTGGAACATGAGCGCCGTGCACACCTTCCTCATCCGCAGCTCCAACAGCCAGGGTGTGTCCGTGAACGCCACCACCATGACGATCGGGCCCATTAGCAACCGGGACTGGCAGCGCGTGCCGAGGAACATTCGCGCCGAGTACCATTCGAACAACAAGAGCTACACGCTCAGCTGGCAGCCGCCGGAGGATCGGGCGGAGCTGCAGAACTACACGGTCTTCTGGTGCGTCCAAAAGCCGGGCCTCTTGTCCGAGTGCGAGGGATCCATACGCTTCGCGGAGGTCTCCGCCGGCCAGCTTCAGTTCACCACGGCCCGCGACCAGCTGCCCACGCTGCACATGGCCGTGTCGGCCAACTATCGCACCCACAACACGGGTCTGCGGTGGGTGAGCTGCAGCAGCGACAAGAAGGACGATCTGGCCAAGATGGAGCCCTCGATCACGGTGGCCACCGACACCACGCTGACTGTGAATTGGGACTCGAAGAACGTCTGCCCGGTGATCCTCGCCGGCTACAATCTGACCTACTGCCAGCGATCCACCGGAAGGCCAGACAATTGCACCACCTTGAAGATGGATCGCTACACCACGAAGCACAAAATCCAGAATCTGGTGCCCTACACCGACTACAGCGTCAAGATGCTCATGTACTCGGAGTCGCGGGCCAGCAAGTACAGCGACGAGCTGGTCAACCGCACCGGCGAGGCGGCGCCCAGCCAACCGCGGGAGCTGCAGCTGCTCCGTGTGAGCAGCGCCAGTGTGGAGCTCGCCTGGAAGCCGCCGCTGCTCGCGAACGGCATTGTCCGCTCCTACGAGGGCGCCTTCCGCTCGCTGCGCGACAACGTCACCGAGACATTCCGCGTGAGCGCCGACGCCGAGCATCTGGTGGACATCGAGAAGCCCGTCAACTACCGGCTGGGCAATCTCACGGCCTTCACCCAATACGAGGTGAGCGTGCGGGCGCGGACGGTCTTCTCCTCGGAGCCCAGCAACGTGATCTTCTTCAGCACGGCCATCGGAGGTGAGTGGGGGCACTTTTATCTACTATTTGTATATTTTTCCAGATTTTATTTTCTATATTTGGTTATTAGTTAGTTATTTGTCTAGTTTATTTTTTACCAGTATTTTACTGCATTGTTTCCAGTGTTTATATACACTAAAAAATAGAAAATTATCTCTATATTATCATAGGAATTTTGTTTACTTCTTTAATGTTATGTTCTTTAATTTCGATGATTCAATTTTGAACACTTTTCGGGATTCATTTTTCACCAGTATTTTACTACATTGTTTCCAGTGTTTACATACACTAAAAAATAGAAAACTATCTCTACTTTATCACAGGAATTTTGTTCACTTCTTTAATGGTATTTTCTTTATTTTTTAAGATTAAAAAACTACGAAATAAATATGAAGAGTTTTGTATCTGTTTTCCTATTAATTTCCATATCAGCAGAAAAATATTCTTCTATTTTGTTCTATTCAAACTTCCCAGGAATGTCGGTCTAGACTTTTAGAAATTTTGTACAGGTTTTTCTTACTTTTCAAACTAAAACCCAGGAATGTCGTCAGTAATTAAACATCCGGACCAAACAGCATTGCGTATTTATTTCGATTTGATAAGGCTGCACCTAATACAACATTGATTCATAAAAACAAATTCCAAATCCAAGAATTTTTAAACAAAACTACCTCATAACTAGTGAGTAGTCATAAGGGAAATCTTTAAAGTCGAAATATTATATATTATATCCAATTATTAAAATCAACTTCCACATCCAAGAATTTGTAATAAAAAATTAACTCATTGTTTGTGAGTCATAAGGGAAACCTTTAAAGTAGAAATATTAGAGATTATTATATTGTTAAAATCAACTTTCAAATGCAAGAATTTTTAAACAAAACTACCTCTTAACTTGAGGGAAACATAGGGGAAACTTTTTAAGTCGAAATATCGAAATATAATATATGAAATAATATTATTAATAAAATATTAAAATGATATTATTCTAAAAATACAAATTATTTTATTTTGAAATATATTTTCTTTTATTAATTGATTTTCTCCGCAGTTCCCTCGGCGCCGAAGCTTCAGGTGACGAACGACAAGGACCAGAGCTCGCGACTCGACTGGGAGCCGCCGAGGATGCCGGCGGGGCGCATCGACTTCTACGAGATCTCGCTGCGCGACAACAACGCCAGCTGCCTGATGAGCACCATCCTGCCGGGCCGGAATCGTTCCTTTGTCATGGCCACGCCGCGCTGCACCAGCCACAATCCCTTCCAGCTGGCGGTGCGGGCCATCAATGTGGAGCAGCATCCGCAGTTCGATGGCCTGGATGCTGGTGCCTTGCTACTCATGTCGGCGGCCGCCGGCCAGCAGGGATGCGAGGCCAAGACGGACGCACTGGGCGACGAGGAGCGGGCGCAGTTCGAGGCGTATGCGGCCAACGTGACCGCCTATCGGCTGTACAGATCCGACTGGGATGTCTACGGATTCATCTGCACACCGGACACGCACAGCGTGAAGGCCATGTACCAGACGATCGAGGTGACCGTGGCCATTCTGGTGCTGGGCGTCATCTTCTATCTGGTGTACAAGAAGTACCGCAAGATGTCCGACATTGATTTGGTGCTGCCTCAAGGAATCATTGAGACTTTGAAGAAGCAGCCCATGGACATGGGTGGCCTGTCCCTCGGCCTCGGTCCCGACTCGTCCCTCGGCGGGGGAATCGTGTGCACCCGCGTGGATGATTCGCCGCAGTACACGCCGCAGGATCTGCCGCACGACTTTAGCAACTTTGGCAGCGAGAGCTCCAAGCTGCTGCTGCGCACAGCCTCCTCCTCGGGCGGCGGCATGGAAGCAGCGGCGGGACCACCAACCAGCTATTTGGCCATGCGGCACGGCCTGCTCGTCCAGAACGACATGGAGCGGCAGCGGGAAAGAGAACGGGAACGGGAGCAGCAGCAGCAGCAGCAGCAGAGAGAGGAAGAGCGAGAGCAGCGAGGCGCCGCCAGTGGCTACATCAAGCCCACGCAGATGAAGAGCTGGATGGGAGATCCCTCCGAGAATGATGATCATGACTTTTCAGTTCCTGCTGCTCCACAGATTCCCATCGGCGGCTACGTACCGGTGCCCATTCCGCAGTCGCGCCTCAATCCGCCGCCTGTTCAGCCTCCTCTTCAGCCAGCCACCGCCACCGCTGCCGCTGCCTCCACCTTCTTTCCGCCCGCCCATCTGCTCAACTTGGACAACTACGTGCAGGCCTCGGATCTGCACAAGCTGAAGCCCCTGGTGGCCGCGCCGCTGCCTCTGCCAAACGGAGGAGCTTCCCCACCAGCAGCAGCAGCAATGCGCCAGCTACCGCCACTCCCAACTGCTGCGGCTGCACCTGCTCCTAAGCTGGCCGACCTGGGCTACACCACCATGGAGCAACTGCAGCGCACTGGGCTAGCAAAGCCTCCGCTATCCGCCGCCGCCGTGGGATCACCGACGCACGCCAACGCCGCCGGAGGAGGAGGAGCAGGAGGCGCCCATCCTCAGCCGCAGATCAATGGCTATGTGACGCCCCAGGATCTGAACGCCCTGGCCCACAATCGGCACGTCCTCTAAGCTGTTCGGAGCGGATTTTAACAGAAGAAGAAAAGGAAACCCTCGCGTTCGCATCCAGCATTCAACTCTCTCATCCCCAAGCGCAATCATCAACCGGAATGTCCCGAATCCAGGCAGCTGTTTTTAGTAATTAGTGCTCCACTCCTCGGACGAATGTAGTTCTTTCGTTTGTAATTTATTTTATATTCTTTGCGATGCGTGCGAGGCAGAAAGGCAAAAAGGCAGACAGGCAGAAGTATTTGTAACGCTATAGTATTTTTTTTATATATATACATATTCGTACTGTACACTTACACCCAACTTAACCATCCGCGCGTCGAGCAGATCGAACAGATCGACCAGAGCTTATAATATTAATATTAATACCCTATGTACACCATACGCACATCGCGGCGCTGTATGTCAACATAAAGCTAATTTTAAATGAAATCCCTAGTTGAGTTTTTGGGTTTTCCGCGGGCTTTTGCTTGGCGATAAGTTGGTTGCTTGGTTTTACTCCCTATCGATAGCCCCAAGCTGCGATCAGTGGCTCGTTTCAGTTGTTTCAGTCGCATCGAGAGCTTTGGAGCGATCGGAACCTCGGAAGGTAGGCCTGGTTTTAATTTCGGCTTTGGTTCTCGAGCCCTTATCAGCATTCTACATTTCGGGAAACAGTAAAGTTTTATTTTAGTGTTATTTTCTAAATATATTTCTGAGAATTTTCTGTGTAATCAGGCTTTATCCCATTATGTATTTGCAGTAAGTGATAAGGAGAACAGAAGCCATGGGCTGGAGGATGCTGGTGCTGCTGATGCTGCTGATGCTGGTGGCCTGTGGACGAGCGGCGGGTAACCAGAACGTGAAGTGCTCCATTAAGGTCTCCGATTTGAGGGTCGGCGAAGTGAGCGAGGCAACCTGCACATGTATCAACGCCGAGAACGAGTCCTTGCAGATTTACGTGGAAAAAGAGGGAACATTTAATGGAACCAGGAACGGCAACGTGCTGCTCTACAGGAGTACCAAACTCGATCAGAAATTCTATCAAAGACACGAGTGCCTTGTGAATGGTAACCTATATGCCAGTGCCTACGTCAACGTGTATCCCCGACTGGAAGTGACGGACTTCCGGTGCAGCTACTGGGATGTGGAGTACAGATGCCAGTTTGCGCAGATGGAGGAGCATTTCTTCAAGGACGAGACCCACTACCAGCTGTCGCGGAACTCGGACAAGCCGGTCGAATGCTCGAAGAACGAGAAGCGCCGCGTGCTGTGCCAAGTGCCCGCCAATCGAGGCGATGTTCCCGGCGGAACCTTCCACCTGCTCATGAGCGACAATTTGGGCAACCAGACTCAGCAGTTCCCGCTAAAGCAGACCGATGTGGAGGTGCTGGATTGGCCAGAGGGCAGAGATGGAAGCCTAAATTCCACGGACAAGGCGAAAGCTAACGAACCAACCTGCTATTGGTGGAACGGTCCAGTTGCCCATCGAACTGGCCGGATGGTTGAGTGGAATGTGATGCTGCGGCACGAGGATCCCCGCCTGTCCAGGAATCTCACGGTGCACCAGATGCGGATCCACGCGATGCAGGAGAAGATTTGCTTTGCCAGCCCACCGGAAGGCAATCAGCGGTTCCATGTGAGTCTCAGGCGCCGCTTTGAGATCCCGAACGCCCAGTGGTCGCTGATCTGGAACCTCGAGAAAGAATTGGAAACGGAAATCAGCCTGCCCGCTCGCCCGCCCACATTTCTGGCCAATGGCTTCGCCTATGAGCCCAAAAAGAAGGAGCTGAGGGTTCACTGGGAGCAGCTGAGGAACGTGGAGTTCAACGGACCCCAGCCAAAATACCTGGTGACCAGCGACAATGGGTGAGCGAAGGCAAAGGGTTCTTAATGCCATGTGTTTTAACCGAAAGTTATAACTTGGTCCTAGAAAAAACACTGTATTTTAAAGAAAATGTAGTCCTAGCAATTCGTTTTTCACGACGTTTTCTAAGTTATTCCTTATAATACCATATATTATTATGAGTTTTCTAAGATATTCCTGATATTGTACAGGCATAATACCATATATCATAGTGAGTTTTCTATGATATTCCTCATATTGTATAGGCAATAGTATTATATACTATCATAATTATTTGAAAACCTCTAATATCTGTGATAAATACGTAAAATGCATAGGATACACAAAGCTTATAAGTCTAAGATTCGAAAAAATAAGATAATATATAGAGAAGCAGAAGGAATAGTAAGGAATAGGAAATTCTGAAGTCGCCCCTAACCATCTTCTCCATTGTTACAGCAAACTGGATATATTTTATTATGAGTTTTCTATGATATTCCTCATATTGTATAGGCATTATACCATATATTATTATGAGATTTCTAAGACATTCCTGACATTGTATAGGCATAATACCATACTATACTATTATAATTATTTGAAACCCTCTAATATCTGTGATATACATAACTAAAATACTTAGGATACACAATGCTCATAAGTTTAAGATCCGAAAAATAAGATAATATATAGAGAATCAGAAGTCGCTTCTAACCATCCTCTCCATTGTTCCAGCAAAGTGGATAAGATCTTCAAGAGTTCGGCGATCATCACGGAATGGGATGAGGAAAAACCAGGCACGGTGGAGGTGTGGAGCCAGAATGTCAAGGGGAAATCCGAGAACAGCAGCCGCTTGGAAGTGCCCGGACTGAGGGACGTCCAGGAGCGGCAGGTGACCCGGTATAGATACGACGAGAAAAGCTACATCCTCACCTGGAACAAGCCGGAGAGGCAGGAGCATCTGGAGGGCTACATGGTCTATTGGTGCCAGTTCTCCGTGGAGATTGAGAACGATTGCAATGACAACGCCTCCATAGCGTCGCAATTCACCCGGTATCCGGAGTTCAATTTCACCAGCCGAACTTCGGGCGACTACTTCCGCCGCGGCGTGTCGACCAACTATTCGGATGGTCCGAGTGGAGGAATCGCCTGGTTGCCGGGCAACCAGAACAGCCCCGAGGAGGAGTCCGCGTACCTGCGGTATGTGGAGGGCAGCATCGCTTTGGTGGTGGTGCTCCTGGTGATCTTCCTCGTGGTCCGCAAGCTGCGCAAAATGGCCGACATTCGCGTGGAGCTGCCCGATATGAGCAACGATATGATGATGGTGAACTGTGTGGATTTGGCAGCCGAGGAGCCCAAATATCCGGGCTCCATACCTGCGGAAAAGTTCTATGAACCGCCACTGAAGAGCGTCACCTTCGAGGAGCCCGACATCGAGCTCCAGGCGATGCCGATCGATCAGCCACGTCCACCCGCCGCCCCGTCGAATCAATATGTCTGCATGGCGGCTCCCAGCAGCGATGGCTATATAAAGCCTCCTCCTGGACGATGATATCTATAGGGGTATGGGTAAACCTATCTCGCATCGCCTCGCTTTGTGCCATAATGTGACTCTATACTCGATATTGTAAATACTCCTGAGTCACAATTAGTCATTAGTCGTCATCACTCAGCCACGGAACCCAGGGAACCTTGGGAACCCAGAAACCCAGGGAACAGGAATCTCATCCGCCGCCTTGTACTATTGTATTATAATTGTTGTCAAGTGTATTTATTATACCCGTTGCTCGTAGGGTAAAAGGGTATATTGTATTCGAGCAAAAGTATGTAAGAGGGAGAAGGAAAGTATATATCTGTCTGTCCGTATAAACGCTGAGATCTCGGAAACTACAAAAGCTAGAAGGTTGAGATTTACCACACATATTCATGGGCTTCCTACGCAGCGCAAGTTTATTTCAGCCGAGCGCCACGCCCCCTCTAACGCCCACAATCGGTAACTAACAATTTTAAAGATTTCCCAGAAGTATAAATGCAATTTTGTTGTGTATATTTATACCTATCAAAATCATTAAAAAGTTATGCGCAGTCAAAATGTTATATATGCATCTCCCTCGCACTCCCTTTAGCCGAGTTACGGGTATTAGATAGTCTTGTTTTCTCTCTCTACTTACTATACCAATCATTTGAGGAAATGATTTGTGTTTTATCTCGGGTTTAGTTTATGATAATTGTTTTTTTTGTAGTTCTCCCATTTATAAATGCTCGCTTTGTTCCAGTTTAACGCTATTTCGTATATTTAATAAAAAAATTCTTGTACAAACCGAAGAAGATTACAAATAACCAAGGAATACATATATATTATGTACATGTACGCAGGGACAGAGAGGTGGATCCCCCAATCCCTCACAGATTGGCGGAGGCCGCCTTGCCGCCGTGCCACTTGTAGGAACCGGAGTACTTGAAGTTGTTCTCCTCGCACTTGCGGTCCGCCTGCTTGGGTCCCCGGGAACCGTACTGGTAGGTGATCGGCTTGACGCGCTCCCGCTCGATCTGGTGGAGAATGGGCGTGAAGATGCGCCACGCCTCGCGCAGCTCGTCGGAGCGGACGAAGTGCATCTGGGAGCCGCAGAAGACGTCGAGAATGAGCCGCTCGTAGGCGTCGGGCAGGTAGGAGTCCTTGTACCGATGCTCGTACGTCAGATCCAGCTCGGTCTCCTCGATATCGAAGGTGATGCCCGGGCTCTTGGTCATCATCTTGAAGTACAGGGCCTCTCCAGGCTGGACGCGAATGACCAGCTCGTTGCGCTTGGTGCTGCCCTCGAAGATGTCGCCGGGGACGTCCTGGTACTGGATCCGCACCTCGGCCTTGCGCTCGTTGAGAGCCTTGCCGCAGCGCAGGATGAAGGGCACGCCCTGCCAGCGCTCGTTGTTGATCTTCAGGACGCCGAGGGCGTAGGTGGGCGTGTTGGAGTCATTGCTAACCGTCGGATCCTCCAGGTAGCCAGTTCGGGCATCATCGTTGGCACCCTGCGGATTACCGAGATACTGGCCAAGCACCATGTCGTCCAGGGTCAGGGCTTCGATGCTCTTGAGCACCTTGACCTTCTCGTCGCGAATGTCGTCCGGATGACAGCTGACCGGCTTCTCCATGGCCACCAGCGAGAGGATCTGCAGGAGGTGATTCTGCATGACGTCGCGAATGATGCCGAACTCATCGAAGTAGCCGCCGCGTCCCTGGGTGCCGAACGGCTCCTTGAAGGTGATCAGCACCGAGGCGATGTTCTCGCGGTTCCACGTCGAGCTGAGGATCTTGTTGCCGAAGCGAATGGTCATCAGGTTCTGGACCATCTCCTTGCCCAGGTAGTGGTCGATCCGGTACAGCTGCTCCTCGTGGAACAGCTTGGCCAGGTGGTCGCTCAGCGCCTGCGAAGAGGCGTCGTCCCGCCCGAAGGGCTTCTCGACGATCACGCGGTTCCAGCCGCTGTTGAACACAGGGGGGTATAATAATATTAGAGATCGTGCTTTTAAGATATAATATATGATGTATTGATATGATATTGTAATTGATTGATATGATGTGATATCTAAAATCGTATTATATATGAGATATTCAGATTTTATATCATTATCATTTCAAAATCCCATCGTTTTATCATACATTTCTAGCATATCAAAATATTTAGAATATAATATAATATTTAAGATCGTACATTTCTGATATTATTTCATTATCATATTGGTATTCCATCATTTTATCATACATTTCCAGCATATCAGATATTATGAATATGATATAATATTTAAAATCGTACATTTCTGATATGATATCGTATTATATTATTATCATTTCAATATTCCATCATTTTATCAAACATTTCTAGAATATCAGATACGTGGAATATGATATAATATTTAAGATGGTACATTTCTGATATAATATCATATTATATGATTATCACTTCAATATTTCATCATTTTATCATACATTTCTAGAATATCAGATACGTGGAATATGATATAATATTTAAGATGGTACATTTCTGATATAATATCGTATTATATGATTATCATTTCAACATCGCATCATTTTATCAAACATTTCCAGCACATCAGATAATACTTAAGATCGTACATTACTGATATAATATCGTATTATATCATTATCATTTCAATATCAATTTCCGATATTATATCGTATTATATCATTATGATTTGTTATATTTGATCAACAGTCCTGTTTTAAACGATATTATACATGTATTTTTGATACTCACCAAACCGACATGCATATCTGCTTGATGTTAACGGTCACCTCCTCGAAAACACTGGGTGGCAGAGCCAGGTAGAAGATGCGGTTCGCCTTGTTCTTGTTCTCCATAAGCTCCAGTTGTTGATTCAGCAGCTCGAACCCAGTGCGTCCGTCGTAGCTCCCGGAAACGTACTCGTTGAGGGCCCAGAACTCCTCGTACTTCTTCTGCTCGTGTGGCTGGACCTGTGGGAGATTTCAATTCGATTAGATCTATTAGAACAAGAAGCTGAATCCCCACCCACCTTCATGTACTGCCGACACTGCTCCTTGAGGCCAGCGATCGTCAGCTTGGAACGCGCATAGCCGCAGAACTTTGTGGGCTTGGGCAGAAGGTCATCGCGGTATAGCCACCACAGCGTCGGGTAGATCTTCTTCTTGGCCAGATCCCCGGACGCCCCGAAGATGACGAAAGTGTGCGGGATCTTGCCGTCGAAGTGGGTGCCCTCGCAGACCATCGTCGGGGACTTGAGCGACTTTATGATGAGATCCAGGGCGGTGTGATCCTGATCTGTGTGGGAGATTGGAAGAGGGAATATCAAATAGGTCCTTTAAGCAAAGGAGATCAAGGAAATATTCCTTTCAGATATTGAAAATAACAGTTTATATTAAATTTTTTATCTTTTTAAAATAAGATTTCTCAAAAACTGTTATTTTCAGTGCCTGATATTTTTACAATATGACTAAAAGTCTATAGCTCTGTGGTTACAATGTTAGTTACAAAGTGACATAAATTAGGACTGTCAAAATTTATTATTTTTGTAAAACCCTCAACAAAAGGCGAATAGATGGTGGGTTTAGATCTATGGGTTTATATATTGCAAATCTGTGATTTTACATGATGTTCAATCCCAATTATCCAGCTCCTAAAGTTCCAAAAATCTCAGTGTTCATTCAGACAGACATTTCCAATAACCTTGCACTTAGACTTCGTTTAACTTTCATAGATACGCTGGGGACTTCCGGTGATCGGCGGCTTTTGGCTTTTTGACTCTTTGGGGGCTAAGTCCCGATGAGATGCGTGCGAACTCACCGAGGGCCTGGAGGAAAGTGAATGTCCACGGTTGGGGTGCGCAGACTTTATTGGGGTTCGTCCCAAAAAGAGAGGAAGGGCGATAAGCACTCGATAAGAACGGGATCCGTTGTCTAATCACTAGTGACTAGCCAAGTAATCCAGAGGTCACCCTTCGTGGTGGTTGGTTGATGGTGGGTGGGTGGGTGCTAATGGGCGGCCAGATCGATCGGAGCAGACCAGGTGGAGAACAGGTGCGCTCGCATACGTATCTTCCGATGCGGTTTGCACAAAGCGAATAAATCGCCGCACTGCGGTCCACACCTTTAACAAGGTGTAAGTGTAAGCGATGAACTGGGCAGCGACGTCGCTTCGACGCAAACGTCGGCACAAAGTGCAAGCGACATGTAATAGGTGTCTAGCTGTATGGATATAGATATATCCCAACCTGGCTTCGGAACGAAACCCGGCAGTGTGCGATCGCGTGTCAACGGACGATCTTATGAGAAAAACTACTTTGATCTTAACTCTAATCGCTTTGAACTCTCGAAAACTGTCCATCCAAGGTCATAAATCTAAAGAACTTTCCTGTGGTATAATATTATATTATATTATATTATATTAGGTTAAAAATAGATTTTCCGAAATAAGGAGTTTTAGAGGACTAAGATTAGTAGTTTCAGTAGCTTCCTTATTTTTAGATACAAAATCCAAAAGCTCAGTAACACCTAAACTTGCCGGTAAAGTTTTAAGGTGAAACAATTGAAAAGTGGCTAATAAAAGGGTAATAAAACTTTAATGGAGGCAATGTACGATTGAAATGAAATAGATTTTATTTTGTTTATGGATAATGTGAGCTTCTGGAAACATCATTTACTTCTGAAAATCATCGTGAGTCGTTTAAAAGTCAGACGGCTTGGATGAGTTTCGTCGAATCACGTGATTCAGCGGTTGATTCTTTGAAGATGGGATTTGACCAAAGTTCCAGGTGGATTTGTGTAACTCCAGGAATGCATACTTTTCGGCTCTGAAGATATGGAAGATCTGAAACCAGATGGGGCCTTGAGGATGGTGACTAACTGGCTGTCGAGCTCCTTCAAATGCCGAGATTGTGAGTCAGAAAAGCCTACAGTCGAACTTCTGTAAGTGGAACTTCTGTAGCTTCTGCAACTCGAACATTTATTACTTCAACTCTCTGAACAGATAGTTTAATTTATTTCTTAGTGTTTCCACTTATCGAAGCTCGACTGTAATCTCGGTCGTACCGTATCGCATTTGACATTGACACAGACGAAGGCATTGGGGCAAGGAGAACGGAGAATGGAGAATGGAGAGTGGTGACTGGAGAGTTGGAGAAGAGAGCGGAGAAAGAGAAAGAGAGGGCGCAAGAGAGCGCAAGGTAACGTGTTTCAATATTATTAATGCCAAGCGGGTTCGTTGTTGTTTTGTTGCTTTGGAAAGGTAATACACGCAGGTGGGCTAATTATTTGTGCGTAGAATGTATGTAGGTAGGTAGAATCGTGCATGTTCCAATGTCATTGCCACGGAGAATGGAGAGTGGAGCTCTCTCTTTTTGTCAAAAGGTTATTGCCGGTTGGTTAGTAATCTTTGGGGAATTGGGAATACTTAAGATCCCATTCGATGGGTCAGCCACACGTCATCGTCGGGGGAGTGAGAGGGAGAGGGAGAGGGAGAGCAAGATTGGATCCGAGCTGAGCGGCCTGTGATAAGACAGGCAACCGAACCGCCGGGCGTCCGTTGCTTTTTGTAGGTGACCCCAGGCGAAGAGCACATTTGAAGGGCGCAATCGCAATCTCGATTTCCCACCTGACGCGACAGTGATCGCGAAAAGTGAGCGCCCGAAAATCCAATTGGTAACAGATTTTAAAGTAATCGGAAGATCAATTTGAAATGTGAGTTCCCCACAATTACGCTACGATACTCACCATCCTTTTGCGTTGCCATCTTGACCCGAAACGAAACCCGAATGGATTAGCACACAAAAAAAAAGTGACTCTTTCGTTGACAATTAAACCCAGGGGCTTTTTTGTTTGGTTTGGAGATCCGTCCAAGATTTCCAATTTCCGATTTCACCAGCTTTTTGTTTTTTTTTTCTTTTGAGCAACTTTGGCTTTGGCCCACTGAAGGCAACTGGTAATTACGAAGAGTGGCGTTATGTCTTATGTTTGCATTCGGATCGTATTATTCAGTAACGCGGAGTCGCGGAGCCGCAGTAATACAAATGTAGTAATGGAGCTAAGCACGATCGTTCCCTGACTGACTGGAACTGAACGGAAAAAGCAAAAGCAAAGCAAGAAGCGGCACAGCAAGGCAAAGCAAAAGCACTGCCAACGGCAAGACAACAACACCAACACCAGCGGAACCGAACCGACGCTTTGTAACCCCGACTGCGCCGCCGATCGCCGCCAGGAGCGGATTCAGGGGGTTCGGGCCAAAGGGCGGTAGAAAAAATTTTTATTATTTATGGATTATTTAATTTTAAAATTTTTACATTCAGTTTGGATAACTCATTTTTTTTTAATTTCAGAATTCATATCTTTTTTATCCCTTATAACGCCTATTTAGGTAGAACTTGGGGCTAAGGCTGATTTTTTTTATTTTTATAAATTCTAGCTTATTTTATACAAGGGAAAGAAGAGATAATGTTATAGTACTTAGACAAAAATAATATATATTTTAATATAAAAGAAAAATATTAAAATTAGGAGCGAAAAACATAAAGTAAAAATCTATAAAAAATGTTTAAAAACTGCTAATTTTTCTAAAATTTTGAAATAATTATTTAAACCAGGAAAATGCAAGGAAAAGTACTTAGTTTTTTTCAGATATACAAATTTAACCTTTGGTTACACTTAATGGCCGATTTCTCATCACAAAGCTTTCATATCTCGGCAAAACATTGAGAAATGGGCCCTTAGTAAGGGGTAAACCAATTTTCATTCCAATCGCGATTAGTGAACACAATCTAAGTAGTCAACTGCCTTGGTTTTTATTTAGTTTTGCGTGTTAGCGCCCGCTGCGGGCCTTTGGCTATTGTTTGAAACGCACAGCACAGGCCTTTAGTTGGTCTTTAGTGGCCCAAATGGGCGATGCGAATGGCAGGCCGGTAGCCCTCTGTCTGAACAATTCATAAAAATACACGTGTAGGATTAAAAACTACCTAACCCCAGCGGTCAACGATCCACGATCCACGATACCCGATCCTCAGTCCGAACCGCCCCTGGTTGGCTCTCTTCTCATTCACACAGGCATTTTCATTTTCTGTTTACATATACGCATGAATTGGACTCGGAATCGGGGAAGACGAGAGGCCAGTGATAAAAACCCAGAACTACAAGGAATACGGAGGACGCGTACACAGACTACAAACGAAGAGGAAGGATTTCCGGAGCCGCCATTGGTTGTGTGGATTTCTGAATCGGATGTGTGTGCTTGGGTGTTTCTTTTGCCGCTGCGATGGCCCCTCTCTATTTACAAGTTTCTTATATGCTAGGCTCCCAGTCCGTGATCCGTATTCCACTGCGATGATCCCAGGCGAACTGCAGTCGGCGGGGAGTCTGCGGGATTTGGCCGCGGATGCTGGAGCTGCCGAAGCTGCTGGAGCTGCTGGACACGAACGGTTGGCGGACGTCGGTCGTCAGTAGAAGAGCACCGAGTGCAGGATGACCCGGTTGCGGCGCTCCTCGAACTCCTGGATCATCTCGTCGATGTCGTTGTCTAGGTCCGTGGACTTGGCCATCTGGAAAAAAGAGCACAAGCACATGGAAATGATGGAGTGATCGTCTCGAGAATCCACCTACCAAGTTGATCATATCGGTGATGAGAAAGGCGCCCATTAGTGCATCCTCCGCATTGTCCACCACATCCACGTTGAGTACGTGCACTGGCCGATTGTCCACCGAGTCCATGGACTCCATGTGCAGCACGACCAGGTCGTAGACGCGCTCCTCCACGGTGACAATGATGTCGAACTGCTCCTTGGTCTCCTGGAAGCGCTCCGGGCACTTCTTGATGCGCCGATTGCGGTCGAGCATGTGCAGCAGGCCGTTCTGTGTGTAGCTATGAAAAGGGGGGAGATCAGGATTAGCTAGGTGGATAGGATTTAGCCTAGAACCACTCACAATTCCTTGTCCTTGGCCTCCAGGTCGCGGTAGATGTCCTCGTAGCTGGTCCCGAATTCATACACATTCGGCTTGTCGAACGCCATGCCGGGCAGCTTGACGCGCTCGCCGGTGCCGTAGGAGCGCACATTGAAGCCCTTCTTGGCCAGGAAGTTGTGCGCCTCCATCGAGCGGTTCATGTTCGAGGAGCAGACGACGGCCACCGAAAGCTTGCTGGGATCAGTCATGTCTCTGGCAGTGCGTTGCAGTTGCAGTCGCAATCGGATCGAAACGGATCGGATCGGATAGGCAGAGAATATATTATATTCGCCCGATGTGGGGATGGCAAAACTATATCTTTGAATATGCCTATCGATAGTCACGCGAACATATGATATTTTTAATAGAGGTGGGGAAACAACGATGACAATCGATGTTTTAGTTGCATCACCAATTTTACAGGGTTTCTCACGATTATTGCTGGCGCCCTCTAGCCTTCACGTTGGCAGTGGTCAACCGCTTCCATAACCGCTCGATTCAGAGCGGGAAATTTGAAATGTTAACGGAAGTACCCCAACAATTGATTTATTTTTTATAGATATGTTTGCTCGAATTTGGTACAAGCCTACTAAATGTATTTCTCAGTGCTTCATTTGGTGAAATGATGGCTTTCTAATTTAAAATAAATCAATATACTATTACTGAATTGTTTTACTTTTTTTACAAATACAGGATTTTTTTTTTTAGATTTTTAACAAGTCTATGATTTTAGTTCTTTCTTTTGTATATTAACATTTCATGTAAAAATCTTTCAGTCAGTAAGAAAAATAAATCTAAAAATAATAATTATCTTAAATATTCAAATCGTGATCTAAAATAAATGGGGCGTGCCAGCACAACAAATATCTCTTGTAAAAACACGCTGAAAGGCCTAAAATTAAAATAAATAAGACACACGAGCTGAGAATTCTTAATTAGGCGATGGCAAAGCGCTTCTCTTTATTGGGTCACCTATAAAATGAGGAAAAATCAATTTTACTTTTACCCAATGGAGGTGTTCATATTGTTTCTTCTTTTTCGGCCCCGCCATTTTGTCGATCCGCTGCAACTGCAACTGCAGGGAATCTCGAGATACAGAAAACCATATATACAAACACAAGAGATGCACTGGGATTGGCCTGCTGCTGTGATTTGTGGGAAAACCAGTTTCCCTCACTTTCCACTGGCCGCCGCCGGTTGCAACTAATAAAGCGGCAATAATAACCAGAAATCGAATATTTACATATTTGTGTCAGCGCACATTCCTCGATATCATGCATCTCATTAACTGAATTGAAACTCTCACATATAACTTATTGATTTGTGCGCCAAAAAAAACAAAAAAAAACCAAAAATATAATATACTCGAAAATTTAATGCACGAATTAATTATAAATTCCGTGTGTGCTCGCCACGAAAGCGGCAAACAAAAATCCAAAAATTCACGGTAACCGCTGTTCTTCTTCTCCTCCTTTTTTTTATTTTTTTATTTTCCCCGTTTCATTTGGACCCTTTTTGTTTTGAATAAATGCAAATGAAAGTTCTTTATTTATTACTATTACACCGGCGAGATGCTGTCTTTTTTTTCGGCATTTATGCACTTAGAAAGTGCGCCATGCAAATGAGAAGAAATTAGTTAATGGAATTCTAATTGCGTATACGCACTTTCTTGCTGCGTGCGTCAATTTTTTATACGATTGCTCAGATCGCTTGGGTTTATCATAGATATGTGTGTACGTAAGTGTGGGTATATATTGCAGGTGGGCCATCTTGTGGGTTGGGTGCGGGATGTTTAAGCACTGGCGATGGGAAGTGTGTCCCTAACTTGGTAAAAAATATTTGATATTTATAAATCCTATTGAACTAAATATTTATATTACCTAAAAAATAAATACATATGTATAACAAGAATTATACAAAATTAAAAAAAAATATTTATAAATATTTTATTTATAAATAAAATTAAAAAAATTTAAAATTCTTAAAAATTTGTAATGTTTTAAATACATTTTTTATTTACCATATTACATTTATATTTAAACAATTTACTTTTATTATATTCCCTTGTTGCTCTACTTTTTGCAGCCACTGCGTGGACGATCACGATTCGTGTAGCATTTGGACAATGGTCACTTCTCTGGGCTCCACTTCACTCCGATACGATCGGGGATAAATATGTATATATATATATATGGTGTACAGTGGAGCAGGGACTGTGATGTCTCGCCTCAAATGGGTCGATGACAGATTGCGGGCTGGTGAGGCTGATTGTGATAAAAGGTAAGGCGAACCAAATTGAAACAAATTCCCACCTAATATCGTTTGGTGAACTCGCCTCCGACTTCTTCTGCCGATTTGATTTGGTTCGGTTTGTTTTCCATTCGTCTGGGTGTGTAATCAGCACTTGATATCAGAATCGGAACGAGAACGAGAACAAGAACAAGGTGTGTTGTTACTTGTTAGAGCTACTGTTGCTGGTGTTGCTCGTTGATGTTGCTGCTGCTGCTGCTGCTGCCGATGTTGCTACTGCTACTGCTAATGTTGCTGCTTGGGTAACGTGCGTGACATACCAATAAAAGCTGCTGCAGAATTACTGTATTACATCGCGATTATTATGCACAAGAGCAGCACTTATTTATCTCCACAGTTAAACACATCTCCTTAGGCTGGCAATTGATTTGTGGTCGTGAAAAGAAAGTTGTTGTGCTAAAGTATTAAATAAATTGGAGGAATGTAAATCAGAATAAATGTTTAATGTCACTTTTCAATATTAATTATATATTATAATATTTTAAATATTGTTGGGAATTTTCATTCATATTTTGTATAATTGTTTCTAAAATATTTAAAAGTTATAAAGGTTATCAATTTCAATTTATTCTTTACAAAGCTTTTTTTTATACATATTTAATGAATAGAAAAAGGTTTTATTTAATTTTATTTTTAGATCAATTGTTTTTGAAGAGAGGGTATTTCTGCGGCTATCCAAAATCCATCAACCCATCTTGGATTCTTCGGCGGACCTGGATCACACCCAACTATTTGGCCCGGGGCTCCTCTTCTTCTTCTTCTCCTCTCGGGGCCCTGGAAATTTACGATGCTTCATTAGCATTCACACAGAGTGGACAATAAATGGCCGCAGCTCAGAAACGATGTCCCCGTTGAGAATGTGATTTTCGTAGCTGTTGCTGTTGTTGTTGCTGCTTTGCCTTTGGCTTAGTCCAACTGACTTAAGTTAGTCGGACTTAAGTAAAACAACGCGGGTCAAACTGTGGCTCGGAATGTTTATTGGCTTTTGTTGGCCATTTTCGCTAAATGTCTCTTTTTCGGGCCTTTCATAAGCAGCAAATTCAATAAATTAATTTCGTTTTTGACTCAGCGTCGTAGAAACTTAAATCCCGCTAAGAAATCTGCTTTTTCTATCGCTCTTTCTTCGCTGGTTTTTTTTCCTGACTTTCCGTCAAAGGTCAATTTCGCTTTCTGTACTCTTTATAGAAATGGGGTATATTCTTTTATCATTCTTTATTTATTTGTTATTGATATAAAAAATGTTAGTTTATTGTTTCAGTGTTTTAAAGAACGAGGAGCTTTAAAGGAGTATTAATAAATATTTGGAATCTCATTACCGTAAAATCATACTGGGAATTTTATTAAATGGAATAAATTACATTTTTGTTTAACTTTATTAATAATATTTTATTAGGGTATTTACCCTTTCAGAACTTTAGCTTTTAGCTGCAAACCTCCATCACTGAACTTTCGCACCACGTGTGAGTTAACCTTTGGTTGCGGAATATCTAGAAATGTCAGTGCCAAACCTCCGACTTCCTTTGTTCGTTCTTGGTTATATTTTTTAACAGTCGGATAAATCATCTGTTGGGTCGAAATAAATCTTAAAGCGCTCAGCTCAATTGTGGACAGGAATGTCTGGGGTTTAAATTTAGTCAATAGAGCGACTAAATCTATTTTTAAAAACTGCGAAGTTTATGCGGAATGTTCAACTTTCCACTCCCAAAGAAAAAGGGTTTGGATTTATGCACAGAAAAAAAACAGGACAGCATTTATAGTTTTATTTAACTTAATTAATTATTAATATTTTAATTAATCCTATTGATTTATTAAAAAATCTAAAAAAATATCACTTTCCATCTGCATTTAACATTATTCAATTTTGATTTTATCCATAGCTCTATTAATTTTTGCTCTGTGCAAATCGATCCCAACCTAGATGACCCACAAAGGGCCCTTTTTGGCCGAAACTTTCATCCGCATCGACGCGGGGTTATTAATGACCGGTCGATCCATTGACCCCGAACAGAAAGTCAAAAGCCAAACGGGTTCTTCTCGGAAGAAAGCCCCCGAAAGCGAAGAGACGCTGGGATGCTGTGCTGCCAAGCTGATGAATAATTCAGAGCCCTCTGGGTTCGTAGGAAACTGTAACCATAACTGGCTGATCTGACCATATAGACTGGGTAGCTGGGTAGCTAAGCTAGCACATCTGCTAGCACGTTTTTGGCAATTAACTGTGGGTCAATAGGTCTGCCTTGGCGATTCGGCGATTGCGAGCTAATATAAGCCGGTTGCCGATCGTCGGCTAGCTCAGTTATAGACAAGATGAGGAGCCGCTGCTGTGTGTGGGCCTTTCTGGCTCTTTGGATGTGCCTGCTGGCCGCCGGGGCCTCCGGTGAGACCATGATCGAGGTGGACGAGAACGGCGACGAGTACGAGCTGAAGCGATTCTACATCCAGGGTCGCCAGCTGAGCGGCGACGGCAGTCAGTCGCAGTGTGTGGTCACCAGGCGCAAGCGATCGGGTCGTGCCCTCCAATCCGGATCGGTAGCGGGTTCGGGATCAGGATCCGTATCGGTTAGCTCCCAGCCGCTGAAGGTGGAGGCTCTGCCAGCCAAGGAGCATCGCGAGGGCGGAGCTGTGCTGCAGGAGGTGGAGAATAGCAATAGGCGTTATGTGGCCCTGACGGGTGTCCACCTGGAGTCGCCGCTCCATGAGGAGCAGGAGGATGTGGAGGAGAACGACGATGATGATCAGGAGGATGATGATGAGGTGGAGGAATCCCAATCTTCATCCAAATCGCAGTCGAACTTTGTGCCCGCCGCTTTGGCGTTGCCACTTCAGCAGCCGCAGCAGCAGCAGCAGCCGACCAGTGCTGCCCATCTGAACCAGGGCGTCAGTGTGGTGGCCAATGCTGCCAGTCATGCCAATGTGGCCGAGGATGCCGGCATTGTGGTCGTTCAGTCGCACCAGCCGCCCAAGGTCAATCCGGACACCCATGCCGTCTTCGAGCTGAAGCCGGTGCAATCGGATGTGGATCCGTCGTCGGCCGTTAGCTTCTATCCCTTCGTCCAGCCCTGGGAGGTGGTGGATCAGTATGGTGGCGATGACTACGATGAGGATGACTACGACGAGGAGGAGGACTACGATGACTTCCACTACGGCGGCTACGATGGCTTCTTCCGGGATCAGCCTGCATTCCAGGGACTGGGCGCCTACGAGGAGCACATCATCAGCGAGGATCAGCCCGTCTCGACGATAGCCAGCTGGGTGACTGGCGAGGATGACAGCGATATTGCTCCTGTGGTCAACAAGCGGCCCAATCGGAAGAACAAGAACAAGAAGAATCAGAAGAATAAGAACAAGAATCAGAAGAACAGGCGACAGCAGCAGAAGAAACGCAAGCAGGAGGCTCAAGAAGAAGAGGAGCTGACTACAAAGAGGAAGCAGAAGAAGCCGCAGCAGCAGGATAAAGATAAGGATCAGAAGAAGAAGAAGCAGGATAAGGATCAGAAGAAGAAGAAGCCGGAGCAGAGTCTGGAGAATCAGGAGGTGGATGCTACCCCCATCGAGGTGATCAAGAAGCCAGTGGCCATGGATTCGGAATCTGCAGTTGTTTCTGCCTCCTCTTCTTCGTCCACCAGCAGCAATTCTTCGGGCAGCAATTCTACAGACGGGCAGAAGAAGAAGAAGAAGAAGAAGAAGCCTGCCAGCAGCAGCAGCAGCAGTCTCAGCCAGCGTAGAACCAAGAAGAAGAAGAAGCAATCTAGCAGCAGCAGCAGCAGCATCAGCATTTCAAGCAGCAACAGCAACAAGCGTCGCCGCCCCAGCAGCAACATGGGTTCTTCCAGCAGCTCCTCCATCGGAGGCTACCGTCGCCGTCGTCCGCAACAGCAGCAGCAGTTGCAGCAGCAGCAGCGTCGCCGGAAGACGCAACAGCAGAAGCGTCGCCGCCAGCAGCAACAGCAGAAGCGAAGACGCCAGCAGCAGCAGCAGCGCCGTAGATTGCGCAACAAGAATCGTCAATTCTACGGCGACGAGCCGATCATCAACTGCATTTACATCAACAAGGATGCCCCGACCACGACCACGCCACGCCCCTTCTGGAACATCCTGGGCAGACAGTCGGAAGCGGAGGCGAATGCCAAGTCGGTGAGCCCCTCGGACTCTTCTTCCGAAGAATCGCCCGTGGATCCGGTGGCCCAGCAGGCGGTTCTTCAGGCGGTGCGTCGCAACTTCAACGAGTTCGGCGGCAGGAAGCGCACCAATCTGCGATTCGTGTCCTAGATGACCACCCATAAGCTATAAGTCCTCATTTTTTTTTTTTTGCCTATTTATTTATTTATTGTAACGAACCCACTATCAACATACTTTTTTTTTTGATCGAACCCGATGAAAGTTTTACTTGGAAAGACCCCCGTGTGGACAACTTATTTGGGAGGCGTTGCATTCGGTTTTATTGATTTCTGGCCAAAAGGGGGTGCAGTATTGCAGGACAGGTCAGAAGAGAAAAGAACAGGTGTGTAACCTGAATCTGTCGCCCCCTGAATATGGTATTCTACACTGCGGAAATCTATAGGCATTCACTTGGTTTTACTATAAAGTACAGTTTCTTTTGCCTTGCATATTACACCCTTTTCTCCCAGTGCAAAAGCCTCCTCCGCTGGGCCGTTTTGTCCTAGACGACGTGGAAATCACCCCCGAGAGGAGAACTCCGGATATATGCCTCACTGCACAGGCCAAACAGTTCCGGGGGAAAGGAGAGGAGGAGAAAAGGAGGACAGAAGAAAAGGGTTGCGAACCAGGCCCTGTTTTATGTCTTCCGCCGCTAGATGGCGCTCTCCTAGCGGAATTCAAATCGCGCCACCTATCCCCTTCCATGAAAGACACCGGAATAAATAAAACTATATTTGTGACTAAAACTAAACTTTGTAGGACTAAAAAGTTACAATTAAAAAAAAAATTAAAAATAAATAAAATTTCAAAAAATTACACAGAGAAATTTATCAAAAGTTTTAGGTGCAAAATAAGGGGTGAAACATTTTAAAAAGTAAAACGTTTCATACAAATTTATTTTACTTTGCATTTTTAAAACGTTTTAATTTTTATTTTTAAAACGTTTTTATATGAAAACGGCACCTAAAACGTTGTATAATTTTCTCTGTGTAAGATACTAATAAGAATTGTATAAGCATTTTTAAGAATGTTAACCCTTATTAAAAAGATTTTGGATTGATTTAATTAGCTAGTTACTTTATGTAACTTTCTCGTAAATTTCTGATGTTGAAATCTACAATTTATAAAGTTTTTTCCAGTGTCCAAATGTGCACACTCACAGTGAGTCACGGCGATATTTTGGATCGATATTTCCGTGTCCAGCAGCAGCAGCCAGGCAGCTGTATTCGTCCCTCTACATATAAAGCGATACATACATATATATTCGTGTATCCACAAGATACATGACCCATACTCGCACAGAAGATTACCCGCGATGGTTTGGCTTCCGCCCACTGGGAAAGCGGGAAAATGGGAAGTGGAAATGGGAAGTTGGAAAGTTTCTGTGTTGTTCGTTTTGCGTTTTTGTTTGTCGGACAAATAAAAAGCGTGCGCACACAGGACGAGGCAAAAATCCAGGGGGGTTCCTTCTGTTCTCTCTGACGTGGCAGCAGGATAGTGGGATAGTGGAAAAGTGGGTGTGGCCGAGGGGGTGGACTCGGGTGTCACCACCTCCGCACAAGAGCTCAAGCACAGTGGCGATTCACTCCGAACTCCGGACGAATCAACAATGTCCGCTTTTGGCAAGTCATCGCGCGGCAGTTTGGGGATCTGGGGATTGGGATTCATACTCCCAACGATGGTCATAAAACATCAGCAGAGAAGGGGTCTCTAATCTCCTGTATATATACCATATACCATATACTTCATAGGCAGACATGCAAAGTCATAGGCCCACATCATGTGCGTAAATGCGATTCTCTGGGGAGACGCTTAGTTTTTAGTACAATTTAAATGAATGCTTTAAGAAATTAACTAAGCTTAGTTGACAGTTTTGTCGAAACTTAAAATAATATTTGTAATATTAAATTTTAATCCATAAATCTACCAATCCTTATTCCATTTTATTCTTATTTTAATGTTTTTCCAAATGAATTTGCTTTTCTCACGACTCTTTAGTTTCCTTAAAAACCCACTTTTTGGGGTTGGTTTCATTGATATCGTGCGACATTTGCAACATTATTTCTAGTTTGTAGTATTTTCTTTTGCAAATATTATATACAAATTTACTGGTATTTTTTATCCAAATCTGATGATCTTTAAAATACGAGAGCAGCAGATGTACATATGGATCCACTGATTTATGGACACTTTTATGGCTCTGTCTTTTCTAGTCTATATCTTTCTTACTTTCCACTCCCCTTTTGAACTCATCAAATGAAAAACAGCACAGAGAAAAATTAAAGGAAAAAAGGAATAAATAAATAAGGCGATAATATGATAATGTTATATGTATTATATTATATATATTATATTTTTTAATACGTTTGAGCACCTTTGATTTGTCTTAATTAAAATATTAGGTAGATATTGTATCATATCAAGTCCCATTTCTTTTAGTGCATCCCCTAATCCCCACTCTTTTTTTACCCAAAACTCCCGAAAAAGGTGTGAGAAGCGGCGGGTCAACAACAGATTGCCGGGACAGATGTTTCGGCCGATCCTCTTCTTGTCCGTCCCAAGGAATCGGGGTTCTCGGGACCTAGTTACGCAATGATTTGTCCGATTGTGGGCGTGTGCTCGAGACCTCCATAAACCATTAACCCACGAGGGTTCGGGGAGAGGAGAAAGGTGCGCCTATTTAGTCATAATTGGTCGCCTAATTGGGCCGTTGGCACGAGGCGATGATGAAGTGGATCCAAAGCAACACAGACAGTCAGTCCTTTTCAGCTGTCCCTTCTCGAGGGCTGAGGATGCTGCGGCCAAGTTAATTATAAAGCCCGAACTCAGCTGTCCGTGCACAGCGAAAATCTCTAAGAAAATGTATCATTAAATTGAAAGCTTTAATAAATATATTTTATTTTTATAAAAAACTATTTATTATTTATTTAATCGTATTTAAACTCATTATTTGCCATTTCTTGGAAATGGGTTATTAAAAAAAAAAGAGGGCATGTGTGCTCGAGTGTTTTTTCCCCCAGTGTTGTCCTAAATTGGAGCCAAAGTTGGGCTCTTTTCGAGGGCAGGCACGAGCCAAGAAACCGCAGAAATGCAGCTTGCATTGGTCAGAAGACAAAGGAGTGGATTGAATTGGTATACCGAGAACAGGTACCGCCGCATCATCAACAGAAACCGAAATGGGAACGGGAAAAGATCCTGCAGGAGGACAATGACGCTGCCGATGATGTGTTGCAGTTGCAGATAGAATGGCCAAAGGGGGAGATCCCAGATCCTCGATCCCCGATCCTCGATCCTTGCACATTGAGCGGCACGTGCCCCTCGCTTTTCGTTTATTTACGAGTTCCGATCATGTGAGAGGCAGGGATGCAGCGCGTGGATGTGGATGCACCTGTTCGGCTGCCCATTAAACCCAGGGGCTGGGGTTGCCTTTTCAAAGGAACAGGTTCAACGATCTGCGGAGCTACCTGTTGGCCGCTCCGTGTTGCAGCATCAGGATGTCGCGGCAGTTGCCAAGGTTGCCGCTTAAAAGTAGCCAGTTGCCAGGGCAGTTGCAACTGCAGCATCTCGTTTTGTTTGTGGTCGATGGAGGGGATCTGCGAGGATCTCAAGCCTTTCGATTGAAGTCATCAGAAAATTGTACTTTAAATGATAGGATAGAAAATGAACAGGGATCCTAAGTCAAAGAACTTTAAATTACAAAGAAAATTCTACCACAAATGGAATGAAATAAACTGGGATCCTAAGTTGAAGAACTTAAATTACAAAGCTAGTCAATATAATATAATAATACAATATAATATTACAAGAATTCAACTCTCGTGATAAAAAACCCTATCGAGAATCCTTATAGCCCATGTAACTCCACTCAGATCCTGGTGTCTGACCCCATCCTAGATTCCAACTGACGCTCCGAAGGGCAGGAAAATTAAAGGCCTAAAATAAAGGATGAGGGGCCGGCGGAAGACATGTGCATGACTGCTTAATCTAATTTAACTGCAATGCCGGGGACGTTTTAATAGGAAAAGAAAAAAAAAAATAATAAAAGCAGCCAGAAGTCAACCCCGTCTATATGGTAGTATTTCTTATAGCAACCATGGTATACCATTGTAATATGAAAGAAGAACAGGGGCCCCGAAGAAAATAAGGAAAAACCTGCGGGAATGCCAAGAGCCAGGACAGCACAAAGGCAATTAAAGAGAAGATGATGATGATCGTGATGATGTTGGTGTTCTCGATGTGGATGGAACCATCGGTGAAGGTAGAGCACACTCAACCGCAGCGCCGGAAGTGCACACAAAGAGATGGAGATAGCTAGATACGGGAAGATACTCAGATACTGCAGCTACCCAGATACCCAGATACTCCAGATGAGCAGGAAAATATATATATTGTATATATAAGAAATGAAGAAAAAAGAACAGGGAAGGGCGCCCGAGAAGATCAAGTCCAAAGTCGGGGGCATCTCACCGCTGCAGTTGCAGTTGCATTTCGCGCTTGAGAGGGCACGTGCCCCTGCTCACTCGAAGGGCGAACCCACATGACATTTTTTACCTCCTAAACCTGAACCCATTCCCCTTTTATGCCCATTCCCATTCCCATTCCCCCTCGCGGTTCTTTATACTTATATACAGATGGTGGCCAGCTCTTTTGGGCCACAGGGTCCATCTGCTGCCCACAGAAGTTCTTGATATCTTCGAGGATGGCTTGATAAGGTTCTCCTCATATGGAACCAGACCTTCTCTACGATTTTTAATATATTTTTAGCATTTTCTAGAATATCTTAAATGATCTGGTAAAATCAAATTATTAAATGTTATTAATGTTTAAAAGATAGGTATATAATTTCCTTATAGAGATTAAAATACATTTATTTGAAATGAGGTTAATTAAAGAACCTTATAATATTTCTGGGATATTTTTGTGGGAATCTCAAGAACTCCTGGAGTTATTGCCACCATTAAAATGGATAGTTTTTAGTGCGAAGCCATGTCCTCCCGGCTTAATCAGCTTAGGAAGCCTCGAATTAAAGGAAGAAGTTCCACAACTGCCCCTTGGAACCTTGACAACCCACATGTAATACGGCCGAGTTCTCAAGTTGACGTTGCACTATCAAGATGGTGACGAATGCGGCGGAATGATGTGTTATGGCAGCTGGTCATTTTTTTTGGTCAGGGTTCCGTAATTTCCTTGGCTTCCTCCTCGTCCTTCTCCTTGGCCCTGTGTTCTTGCCTTTTCCTCCACT